CATGTTTGTATGTATAGGTACACATGTATCACATGATTACTCTACAATTCTTGCCATGAATTTTTCCTTCTTTTATAGTTGTTTCAGACCCCATACTTATATATTTGTTCCTTTTATCTTTATATATGGTATTTAAAACTTTGGGGTCAGTAAGATCTTGATTATGTTTTGAAGGAAATACTTTTTTTTTTCGCAAGGAGGCATTTGTTTTGATCAAAGTCATTTATAATGTTGAAAGATTTCAAATAAATGCTGTTCTTTTGAACTTTATGTTTACCAAAGAATCTTCAAAAATTGTATCACACTTAAGTAACAACTTGTCAACATCATTAATAATAATAAATGTCAAATGTCAAAGCAAATCATCATATTAGAATGATTTCTGAAGGATTGTGTGACACTGAAGACTGGAGTAATTCAGCTTTGCTAACACAGGAATAAATTACATTCATATTAAAATAGACAAAGTGTTAAATTGTAATAATGTTTCCCAATATTACTGTGTTTTTGATTAAATAAATGCCACCTTGATGAGCATAAGAGACTTCTTTCAAAAACATTACTGAACCTAGATGTTTGAACAGTAGTGTGTGTGTGTGTGTGTGTGTGTGTATATATATATATATATATATACAGTATATATTACTAATAATGTAGACCAAAAGGAAATTCTACCTTTATGCATTACAGAATCATCGTTTTTCAACAAAGCCTAGACTAGCACCTTGCAGATTCACACAAGCAACCTTCTGCACAGTTTTTTTTTTCAATCCTAGATAAATGACTTGGAAAAAGAGAGAAGGGCTGACTAAAGAACTTGCTCATGTCTGTGACTGCAGACTGAGTACTGAGTCAAAGTAGTTGCATAAAATGTCTATGGCGGATCAGGAGGCTACTGAAGTGGTGTAGTGTTAAAGTAGTGTTTAAAATAATTATTTGCCATATATATTATATACTTAATATATATGTTATATTATAAGGGAGACTGGGACTCGTTGTCACATGGGGAAGTTGTCAAAATGGCCATACTGTATACTGTATCTCACTAAGGTTTTTACAATTTGTACTAAAGCTTGTTTGTTGTGTTGGATTCAAACTCTTAAATCTTAAAAAAGAAAAATTTTTATGAATAAAAATCCCCCCCAAAAAAGTTAACTATTGATTTTAACAAAGTTGAACTATGTTTTAGACATTTTTATACTGTATTCAGAAATATGTTGGGGCAAGTTGTGACATGTTTTATATGTTATATATAATATTTATTATAATGTAATATAATTTGATATTTTAATTTTTATTATATACTAAAATATTTTACATGTATATTTAGTTGAAAGTTTCTGAATGTGACAACAACCCACAAAGCGCAGCTATGTTTTTCCTGGGTAATATTGTTCAAGGTGGGTATACAGAAATTTACTTTAAATCAACCTACACTTAAGTAAAAAGTGTGACAACTAGCCCCGGTTACTACTTATATTACTGCAAGTTACACAGGGTTCAGTTCATAAGAGTAATGTTTGGATCAGAATTGCCTGGTTCATAATGCTGAAGTCAAGCTTTGAAAGGCAACCCTGACATCCAATGAGGTCTTATGGGCTATTGATGAAAGATCTGTGTTCATCTGATCTCCATAACCATCATTCATCCAGAAACAACGCAATTAGATTTATTAGCCTTCATACTTCAATAAAGACTTTTAAGATATGGCATGCCATTATTACTATATTTAATAGAGCTCTATAAGCTGTGATTCAATGGTTTTGTTATATTTTTCCCAAAAGCACCAAGGAGCAGCAACAGAGCTTTGCAAATCAAGGTGCAGAAGGTTGAATCCATGTTCCCTAAGGTTTTCCTTCAGTGGTGTGCAGCTCTTTCCAGCTGCGTGGCTGAACTAGGTAAAAGTGTGCTTTTGTGCTCAGTAAGCACAGGCAGCTAGACAAGCTTTGCTATACGCTGTGCAGTCAACCATCCCATTTTGCTTCAGTGATTTCTAGCTGTTCCTTCAAGCCATTCCATTGTACAAGTGAAGCTAGCTTGCTATCATAATAATATATCACCCCTGATACTTAATGCATTACATGTGATTTGCTTAATGTGCAGGCATTACTGACAGCTTCAAGTCCTGTTGTGTATTTAGGCTAGAATCACAGCTATGTAGCCCATCTTTATTTAAAAATGCCTGCTCTGACCATCATCCTATAGTATCTGATGCCGCTCTGCTGAGCCTTTTGTTCTGTGTAGATATAATGCTACATCAGAAACACCCTAAATGTTGCTGTTGTCATAGCAATAACCACACATGTTGTGTTCTATCAGCTGTACATGAGAATCAACACAGAAGGCAACATTATGCTAAAAAATGGCCATGAACAAAGTTGTAAAATTGTGATTCCTGTGTAAATGCATTTATGTTGCCTCTAGGCCACATTACAAACATTGTATATTCTGCTTCAAATGCTCTATGTCTCTTTTGTGGAAAGATTGCTTAATCAATGCTAATTCTTCTAAGATAGCATCTGGAAAGTCTGCCATTCAGGCAAGGTTTCCTTCGCAAAGCGATATCAAAAACAAATACTTGTTTTTTTTTTAAAGAAATTGCTTTCAAAACATGAAATCTCTTGCCAAGGCTACATTTATTTGATCCAATATACAGAAAAAAGTAATACATATTTTTACAATTTAAATAACTGTTTTATAATTGAATATATTTTAAAATAGAATTTATTCTTGTGATGGCAAAGCTGAATTTTTCAGCAGCCATTACTCCAGTATTCAGTGTCACATGATCCTTCAGAAATCATTCTAATATGCTGATTTGGTGCTAATTTACTTTCACTTTTGATCAATTTAATGCATCCTTGTTAAATAAAATACTAATTTCTTCTGTTAACCCCCCAACACACACAAATGTTTGAACAGTATTGTATTTAGCCTTGGTCATTAACTTTAGCTGTTAGCCGCGGCAGGAGATCACTAGAGCTACCTCATTTTTCATCAATTTTATTTGCAGTATTTAAGAACATTGAGTGGGTGTGTCATTTTGGTTTTTCAATCCATTTATAAGGGCTATTATGGCATTTATTATGACTTATAATAATGACTCGCATAGCTTTTAGGTTCAGGAGTTACAGGGGCACCATTTCAGGAATCCACTTACAATTTATAGTCCACTGGTTTGGTCAAATAGAGGCAGGTCTGGGCTAGAAATGTTTGTAATGATGGTTAGAGCTGCTCTTGGTAACATAGCCTAGTAGTGAGGTCAGTCTGTACCTTTAAACATCAGCAGTGGGTTAAATTAGCGCTATAGCAGCTAGAGCTAACTTAGCAGCTAACTTACTGTAGTGCTGCTGCTGCCTTTTCTGTTTGTCTGAGGTATTTTCAATGTCCTGCTGCAGTGCATGTGGTTGTGACCTGCGCTTTTGCCATCGTTATTTTGTCTGGAGCTTCTATTATGCACACAACACAAGCAAGATCATTGGCTAATATGTGCACGTGAACCATAACATGACAAACATGCACACAGTTTTGACCACGTGCACACTTGTGTCGCAGTCTCAGATGCATGTGTATGTACAAACACATCTGGAACAGAATCATAAACAGACAAGCTTTTTTTTTGTCACAGCTGAGCCTGCTCAGACAGAGAGACTTTCAGGATGACGCTGTGAGCCATTAGAGGACACTATCTTTTCATATAAAGAGAAACAACACAATTGCACATAAGGATGATGTAAGACTGTAATCATTTACAGTTTGCTGTGTTTAACAGTTAGTGCAACACTGTGCTGCCAAACGGTTTTTGTTTGCCAAAAGGAATGCAGGTTTTGAGGGAATGTGTTTTGATAACCAACGACATTTTAAATCTTGGCATTTTGTGTACTGGCATTCTAAATGAACACGTGTAAAAATCCGAGCAGCAATATGGAACAATAAAACCTAATTTGGGGAACTTTAGTGCTAAGACTGACTTATCAAAATGATATTATGCATGAGAATTTGAATGGATTCTGTGGTAATCAGTTAACAAAACAATTCACATTTTTGCTTTTTTAAATATGCTGTTTTGCAGTATCTTGTATGGGGGAGCCATTAACATAAGATGGTAGAAAAAGTGCTTCTTAAATAGCCATTAATTTAGACTGCTGAGCAAGCACATATCTGATGTGATAATGCACTCTACTGTACCTAATATGGAGGTAGAGTGTACACTACAAACAACTGTGATTCACAGACACAATACTTTACAGTTTCACATTAATATACAAACACCCACACAGACACACAATAAGAAGCTTGATCATTCAGATAGCATGTATGTACACATATACACACACGTTTCACCAAAAACACTATCTCTCTCTCTCTCTCTATCTCTTATCTATAATTTTTTTTATATATATATTTTTTTATTTAATTCAGTTCAGTCATTTTAGTACTTCAACTCAAACTTATTTCAGTAAATTGCCAAAACTTCAAAAAAAATGTTTTACATTTTCATCTAACATTTACATTTGATATACCGTTTTAGTTTTAGTTTTAGTGAACAATAACAATGCCACAACCTAATGTAAAAAGACAATAAATTATGATTGTCTGTATGAAGACAATAGTTGTAGAGGCATTACAGATAGATATGACATTATATAACACAGCTAGAGAAGGGAAGTCAGGTACACAGCAAACAAAGAAAACAAGATGTTTATGTGCATTTTTATCGATCATGGCAGCAGTACATTATTAAATTATAACCAAAATGCATTTTAACTGTGCATATATCCAGACCCAGACGCAGTCCCCTTAATATAAGGTTGTGATATGCCTGGAACATGAGGAATTTCATTCAATTCTTAGCAAATTCCCTCTGAGAAAAGGCAAAGAGATGGTCCTGTTGTTCGCAAACAAGCGATTGCAAAAAAATAAACCCAGGACTAAAAGAAGACTAGCCTATGTACAAGAACAAACAGACTATGATGATAATAAAAACAGGGGCCAAGCATTTGAAAAAAAAAGGGCCCAGAAGCACCAAGATGGAAAATAAGGAAAAGCGATACAAGTGTCTCATGATCTCTGTAAGCCTTTCTATCTCCTATTATTGTTGTCATCTCCTTCAATTTTCTTTTCAGACTTGCACACACAAACCATACACATCAATGAGGAAAATACCTCTGAGTTCACACTTATTCCCCCGCTACCCTTGCTGCAGACAGCCCATCGTAACCATGGCGATGGACAGTAAGGAGGCTAAGCTCGACGCGCAGGTCGAGGTAACAGTATCTGAAGGCCCAGGTAAACAAAAAATGAGAGTGAGGATCTTTGCAAATGGCCTGCTCTTTAAGTGACAGTGACTAAATGCCTCAAAACATTAGTGCTGTCTCTTTAAGAACTGTGGTGTGGGCACAAAAACAAAAGAATTGTGTGCCGTGTCTGCGTGCATGAGCCTGTGTGTCTTTAAAGGAAAGTTCACTCAAAAATGACAAGACTCTCAGTATTTAGAAGTCACATGAACCACTTTTATGGTGCTTTTGTTCACTTTTTTTTCCCCGGTCCTTATTCACTACAATTGCATGCAGCAGATTAACCATCACATTCTCCAAAATTTCTCCCTTTTGTAACTGGGAACAATGAGAGTCATACAGATTTGAAATGACATGAGCGTGAGTAAATGATTTTCATTTCTGTGTGAATTATTCCTTTAAATATGACTTAATCACATGTTGCTGTTGTCCAGGGTTTACACACCTTTTCGAGTGAACCTTGTGCCCTCAAACTTTATAACCTCATCTAACTTATTAACATAAATATATCTCCTGTGTGACTTATTTCATGCTTCCTCAGTACAGCTGAAGTTTGGCATGCTTTAGTTTGAGCTTGTTTCTTTATGTTGTTACAGATGTAGACCCATGTGTTAGGCAATCAAGTGCACTGTTGACAAAAGGAACAGTGCCAATTATGTTGTTATGATAAATATATAAATGAATCATGTACTAATACTGAAATTTGGAGTGTGAGGGGAACAGTCAGGTTCAGGTGGGAGAAAAAAATTTACTGGCTTTGCTGCGCTAGTAATGAGAAACATTGTACGACAAGAGTGCGAGGAGCAAGGTTGAGTATTCTTATGTTGTCAAATGGGACAGATGTGTGTTTTAGCTTTTGTGAAGAAGTGAGGGGAACAGTCAGGTCTGAGTGAATTTATTTAGCACTACTGAAACTCATAGGAGCAGGTAGGCTGTGTTTGAGTGTATAGTGGTTGTAGTATGGAGGAGTACAAGGGAGACACACTGAGGGCTGTTTCTCTGGCTGAGTGGTGTCAACTCACATCATATGCCTCAGTGATTGAGGACGCCTGCAGCACTGCATTGTGGGCCAGAGAAATGGAGTAGTAGCGGCTGGGAACAGACTGTGACTTGGACGTGGCTTTGAGAGGGAAATGATGAGACAAAATATGAGAAATCATAAAATCATCCAGTCATATGCGCTCGTAAAGCAGTAAACTCTGGAACAGTAATAACTTCAGGAACTCACATCAGAACAACAACAGAAGTGGTGACTGACGCCAGGTACCAAATGTCTTACTTTCTTTGTTATTGTGTTTTGAGCAGCAACACTTACTTAATGTGTAACTCCACACTACTTTCCACTTTTAGCCTGTAACAGATCTACGCTGATCTTTCGCTGTTAGAATTTATCGACTTCTGTGGTGTAGAGTGGCCCTGTCACCCCAGCCATTTCACTTGAAGCTCCTACAACACAGAGAGTCAGACACACAAACATCTATAAAAACAGTCTGGAGATGTTTTGCTCTTGGCTGGCAGCGTGCTTATGTTGTACTTATAATACCTTCAGAAGGACCAAAAAGGAACCTGCAGGCTTTGATAGAAAATATTCACACATATGCATATTATAATGTTACAGAAGATTTCTATTTAATATAAATGCTGATCTTTGTGAGCTTTTCTATTCATCAAAGAATCCTGAAAAAATCTTAAGTAGCACAACTGTTTTCACCATTAATCAGAAGAATTGTTCCTTAAGAACCAAATTAGGATATTAGAATGATTTCTGAATAATCATGTGAAAATTCAGCTTTGTCATCAGAATAAATTGTATTTTAGATAAACAGAAAATAGTTATTTTAAATTGCAATAATGTATCACAATATTGCTGTTTTTAATGAATCTTTGATTAAATAAACAAAGTTTTGGTGAGACTTCTTTCAAAAACATTTAAAAAATCTTACAGGCCACAAACTATTGATCAGTAGTGTATATAGCTAATATTTTATTTGACATGTTTTATATGTAAATTTTATTCGTAAATATGTGTTTTGAGCTACTCTTATCTCCGTAGATTTTATGATTCCTAATAACTTTCTAGTCTCAGGAAGTGGAGCCTCTCCACAGCACTCTTTACAAACCAAAGGTCCCTTGCCTTATCATTGGTTTAATGCCGTTACATGGGAACCATATGATTCAGTCATGCCACAGACACTTTGCAACTGCAGATTTCCACTTTAATTGGTAGGTTGAGAATTATTCTATAAATGTTTTCTTTACGATTGTTTTGTGTTATTTTTTTTACAGATTAGGAATTAGTTGTTTAAAAGTTGGTGTTTGATTGTTGGTCATGAAGCTCAGATTATATCCACAGTGTGCATGTTATCAGAAGTAACCGATGGGAAAGAAAGTAGCTTATTTAGCATTAAATAAAACCTTCAACCCAGTAGAGGTTAAATTCTTTGTATACCACCTTTCACAATACATATCAATTCAAGCATTTTTTTAAAAACTCCAGATTTTAGAGTAGATTTAGAGGAACCTACAACATCCCCCTGTGATACTGCCCTTGAAAAATCTGCACAATATACAAGATGCTCAGTTGTTTATTCATGTAGACTGAAGTATTATTTGAGTCGTCTATTTGGGTATTTTAAAACGTTTTGTGGTTGCTGCATCTATTGTGTCTCATCCATGATTGCTCAGGTGGATTACAGGGCTCACACTGATTTAAAAAAGTGTGAGAGGAGTAAGTTTATGTACAGTATGTAGCTTAAACAACCAGATGCATTTCAATTTGTTCAAGTCATATCTTGTAAGCATTTGAGTGGCTGGATTGCTATCTTCTTTTCATAATTGTAAATGCATGAAGTGTAAATACCCCCAAAGTGTTCCTCTCTTCTCAAAACAGTGTAACAACTCTATATTACTGACAACAGCTTTATATAAAATTGCTTCTTTAGCGGATGGCTTCTAATTTTTGGCTTTTTCTTTTTTCTGTGATGCCTTTTCAAGATCTTATGGCTTTATAGGACCTCGACATTACCGAATGCTTAAACAGGACATCTGGTCACCATAATTATAAAAGCCTGTCTTAGGACAAGGTCTTACTTCCAGTATAACCTGATTCCATAGCCTCTGATCTATATCTGGTCCTCCATTTCACGGACATCAAATAAAAATTCTCACATTTTTGTACATACTAAAACAAACAAGTATGGTTATTGCTACTTACTGACTATTTATCACTTTTCTTTGCCCCTACCGACCCCATTTTTACCAGAGCGGCGACGGCAGGGAAAATTCCAGCCATTCCGGCGTCTATTTGGGAAGAAGAAAAGGAGGGAAGCAGAATGTGGGTTTGAGGGATCTGAACTTAAACCTAGCCATTCCACTGATGATGTTTGCAATGGGGTGGTCTCAGTTAAGGAGGAGAATGATGAGTGTCCAAGGTAAAATTTTATATTTTATTAAATATATTGCTTTTATTGTAGATGCTGAGTTTATTTGTTGATTTGCGTACTGAAAACATTAATAGAAATGTTTTAATTAAACAGTGTGTTAACATCTACGTTCACAGGGAGTTAAACACCCTAGGGTCCAGAGCTTTTTCACACGAGAGTGTATTTATCCCAGAGGACTCAGAGAAGACATATCCAGGACAGACCATGTCCCAGGAGAACGTTTCAGACAAAGTTAGGAACATTCAGGTGAGACTTTCCACACAAACTGTATAATTAAAAATGTTCATATGCACACAATTAAGTCTTGCACCAAACTTCACTATCACAATTTTCATATAAGCATTGCACCAAAATTATTCAATTTATTTTATCTGTTTTATGTTAGTATCTTTGGGACTTAATGTTGGCTAATTCCTTCTTTTTCTCTAATTTGACTAACAAGGCAGCAAAATAAACTAACAAACAAACAAGAAAAGTTTTTTTACTCTCTATGCTTTTGTTGACAGAGGCAAATTGGACATAATATCAAATTTGGTCAGAGACCTCCTTCACTTAGAAAGAGTGAGGGAGATGAAGGTAGTTCAGATGAAGAAGAAGTACCACGAAGTCCACTGAAGGTTCTTGCTCAGGTGGAGAATGAGCCACCAGAGACCGAAGCCAAGGAAAAAGTAAGTTAATCTCCAAATTATTATCCACTACTTACATAAATTCTGTGTCAGTCAAAGTTTGACAATTTATATGGACTGTTAAAAATAACTTCTCTGTTTTAGAGAGTAATGTTATAAGACATTACCTCACTTGCAAAAATGTACATTTATGCATTTGGCAGGCCCTTTTATTAAAAGCAACTTTTAATGCATTCAAGATATACATTTTGTCAGTAACCTTGTTGCTAATGGCGTACTCTAGATAAGCTGTAGGAAAGTGTCAGACTGTGAAAACACTGATTCCCCATAAATATAATATGCTTCCTGTTCTGCATAGTCACAGACTTGTTTGTGTTATTGCTTTACAATCAGGCTGTCAGCCATGACACGGTCCAGCATAGAACTCCAGTCAAATCCCCACGCACCAAGCGCCCACCTCCCCCTGGCACAATTGAGTCCATCAATCTCGATGCTGTCCCTCAGTCTGTCCCACGCTTGGACAACACTGCTGCCAAACATAAACTGTCTGTCAAACCAAAGAACCAGAGGGTGTCACGCAAACACCGAAGATTCACACAGGTAAAGAGAATGGTGTTCATTAAAATGTGAACAGTGTCTATTGGGATAGTTTTTATGTATGAAGATGTGTGAAAGAGTTCACAGAAATATTTTAATTCAGTCATCAATTTACTCACCCTCGTGATGTTCCAAACCGGTATGATTTGTGAAACACAAAAGTCAATATTTCGATTAATGTTTCAACTGCGTTTGTCAATACAATGTCAGTGGGGTCTAAAACAACACTGGATTAAAATTAAATTATTCAGTGAACTATCCCTTTTGATGAATACAACTCAAAGGCAATAACTTCTGTAAATTTAACATTTCAGGAGTTTCACGAAGAGGATCTCTCTGAAATGCAAGAGGAATCTGAAACACAAAAAGACGAAGAAGTCTTTGATTTGTCAAGAGAGGACTATACCATTATCCATAGAAGCAAAGAGGATTATGAACCCACTGAGAAATTGATGAGGCGACGATTTCACGAGGAGGAGCTAGAACGCCTTGAGCTTCAGAGAAGGGAACAAGAGGAAGAGAGAAAGATGGAGGAACAAGGGAGGAGAATCGAGGAGCAGAGGCTAGAAGAAGAAAAGTGGCGCAGACAGGAAGAGGAAAGGCTGCAAAAGGAGGAAGAGGAGAGGAAGCAACGAGAGGAAGAGGCGAGGAAAGAAAGGGAAGAGGAAGAAAGAAGAAGAGAAGAGGAAGAGCGAAAAAGGCAAGAGGAGGAAAGAATGAGGAGAGAGGAAGAGGAAAGAAGAAGAGCAGAGGAGGAGAGAAGGCAGCAGGAACTTGAGGCGGAGCGTCTTCGTCTGGAAGAGGAAAGAAAAAGGGAGCTGGAGGAGAGAAGGAGAAAAGAGGAGGAGGAGGCAGAACAACATAGGATTCAAGAGTTAGAGGAGAGACGGCAGAGAGAGGAAGAGCAACACCTCCGTGAGGAGGAAAGGAGCCAACAAGAGGAGGCTGAGAAGAAAAGACTAGAGGAGGAGGAGGAAAGAAAGAGGCAACAGCAAGAGGAGAAAGCTGGGGCTACTGACTCAGAATGGAAAAGAAAAGCAGAGGAACTGAGATGGAGAGAGATGGAGGAGAGACAGAGACCCTTTACTTTCAAGGTATCTTCAGGCGAGAAGCAGATACTATTCCAGAAGGTCAACCTCACTCCTGTTACTCCATCAACTGGCCAACAGGGTGAAACAACAGCTGAAACCAGGGAGGGAGCCAAAGCTTCATCACCAGGATGCACAGATTCACCAACTCTGTCTTCATCTCTTTATGTCCCACATACTGCAATTCTTGTGACAGGAGCCCAACTTTGTGGAACCGCAGTCAATCTTGATCAGATCAAGGACACGGCCTGCAAGTCCCTTCTTGGCCTTTCGGAAGGCAAAAAGGCCATGGGCACTCCTCCAACCAAGAGCAAGACTTCTCCAGATCGTAAATCTGAAAAAAACAAATCCTTATACGAGTCTTCCTTATCTCCAGACCAATCTAATGCTGCTGTCCTGGCAGAATGGGCAAGTATCCGATCCAAAATTTTTAAAGGTGCAGAGGACGGAAAATATACAGAATACCCAGATCAGAGTCGCAGGCCAATAAGTGAGGATCTAAATACAGTGCCATTCTCTCACACCAACCTCAGGAAAACCATGTCAGCCAGTGCTAAGTTTTCAATCACACCAGCTAGAAAGAAATTTGCTGATTCCAAAAGGAACTCAGAGAGTTTTGGTCAGGAAGACAAAGAAGGTGTGAAAATAGAATCACCATCTACGGAAACTCCCTCTGTCCAAAAATCAGAGTTGCCCTCTTTAGGTATCAAGATCCAGAACAGAGGAAGCAAAGTTGTCCGCATTGCAGATAGTGCTGAAGAATGCATGTTTGCCAAAGACCTCCCCTCCTTCCTTGTTCCCAGTCCGCCACATGGATCTCCCAAGTCACAGAGGTCCGAGACTGGATCCCCAAGTCAGGAAGAATCAGAAGACCTGGATACAAAGGATGAAGGGGATCAGAAGGATCAGAGTGGTGAGCGGCCCTCACCTTTTGGAATCAAGTTGAGAAGAACCAACTACTCTCTTCGCTTTCACAATGAACAATCTGCAGAGAAGAGGAAAAAAAGGTACAGTGCAGGAGACAGTTTTGAAGGTGTCCCAGTGCCTCTCACCTCCATTGACCAAGATTCTGATACTTCTACACTCTCTGAAAAGTCTAGCCCTGTTTCTCCGCAACAAGAGATTACCGGATCTCGAACCGCTGCAGCACCCAGTAAAGAATCTCGAAGTAAGTTGAGCAGAAATACTCTCCCTTTGGCACGCACCGAAGGCGACAACTTTGTCCCCAAGCCTCCACTTTACCAAAAACCAGCTACCTCCCCCAAACCATCTGAAGGTGCCACACCTCCACCCTCTCCTCTCTCGAAACCTGGCAGGACTTCGGGGGACATGATTTTACAAAGGACAGGGCAAGCAGAACAGGTAGATACTGAGCAGAGCAGTGATCATAAGGAAGAAGTTGCAGCATCTCTACCATCCCAAAAAAATGGACAAGGAGAGGAGGAGCTTAAAGAAAAGAAGTCATTTTTTCCATCCATCAGCATCCCATGGAGAGAAAAAACAGATCGCAGGACAGAACTCATTAAAAAAGGTTCGAAATACTCAAGCGCTGTAGAGCTATAATTGTATCTTCACAATTATTATAATGCTTGCGAAGCATCAATTTATTTATATTCCTTAAACTTCTACCATTTTCAAGGTTCAGAAAGGTAGTAAGGACATTGTAAAAATAGTCCATGTGACATCAGTGGTTCAACCATAATTTTATGAAGCTACAAGAATACTTTTTGTGTGCAGTGAAAACAAAAATAACTTTATTCAACAATTCTTCTCTTCTGTGTCTGTTGACGTGCATTCGTGAGAGTACCATGACCCATGCATGTGGTGCTGCTTAGGCAGGAAATAGTTGAATAAATATAATAGTTATTTTTGTTTTTTAATTTGTTTGAATGGGGTTTTTTTGTGTTCCGAAGATGAACGAAGGTCTTTTCATTTTTGGGTGAACTATCCCTTTAATTATATTCTTGTAGACAGTACAACAGAGGAGTAGAAGACTCTAAAATGTTTTCTAGTCTTGCTTGTCAATTTGACACCTTCTGCATTTCTTCTCTTTCACAGAAAAACCCTCTCTGCAGGCCAGGCACTCTCTGGACAGCTCACGGACACAGGAGAAAGAGACAGGACCACTTTGGATCACTCTGGCACTGCAAAAACAGAAAGGCTTCAGAGAACAGCAGCAAAACCGAGAGGATAAGAGGAGCCAGAGAGAAGCTAAGCTGGCTGAGAAACAGGCTAAGGACAGAGATAGTGTATGTATACATTATCAATATAACCACACAATCTATTATCATTAACAAGCTACACTGTTGGTACTATATGTAAAATTGTAATAACAGTGAGTTTTAACCAGCTGCAAGGCAATATAATGCAACAAGCAATAACAGCTTTCCCTTTTAAATAAATTTTACCAGCCACGACAAGTAATATTTTGTTGATCACTTGTTGTCTACTTCTGTGGTGCTGTGCTGGGTAACCTCCTTCTTTAGGAAATCTTGTTGGTCCAAAATCTTGCTCCATATAACTACAATATGGTTTTATTTGTCTCTGAAAGGCTGGAATGGTCAGTCCCACAGAGGATAAGGGCAGTAGAAGTTCCAGCCCTCCCAAACCTCAAACAACAGATGGGAATAAGAGACCAGACACATTCCTGGCCCGTTTTGAACGACGCGACAACTTGAAGAAAGCCAATACCTTGCCCAGCTCAGTCACAGGTAAAATATATATTTTTAATTTGATTAAAGGATTAATTCACTTCCAGAAAAAAAATTCCTGATAATTTACTCACCCTCATGTCATCCAAGATGTTCACGTCTTTCTTTCTTCAGTTAAAAAGAAAATAACATTTTTGAGGAAAACATTCCTCCAATGTTTGAGGAAACATTTTTCTCCATATAGTTGACTTAAATGGTGGCCAATGGGTTGAAGGTCCAAATTGCAGTTTCAATGCAGCATTAAAAGGCTCTACACGATCCCAACCGAGGAATATGGGTCTTATCAAGAGGAACGATCGGTCATTTTCTAAAAAAAATAGAATTTATATACTTTTTAATCACAAATGCTCATCTTGCACTAGCTCGACCTCAAGCATTATGTAATCACATTGGAAAGTTCACACGTAACGTAGGCAGAAGTACCGACCAAGTGTTTACAAAGCGAACATGCAAAGAGTCAAATGCCCTTTACAAAAAAAGGTAAAACAATTATGTCAGACGATTTTGAAGTTAGAGGAGAAAATTAGATGGATTTTTTTGCACTACGCTACCTTTTTCAACCAAAGTTCACAGATGAAGAACTAACCACACATGACCTTTCCAACGTAATTACGTAATGCGCGAAGTCTCGCGTGCACATTGCAGAGCTAGTGCAAAACGAGCATTTGTGGGTAAAAAGTATATACATTTTTATTTTTTTTTAGAAAATGACCGATCGTTTCTCTAGACAAGACCCTTATTCCTTGGCTGGGATCATGTAGAGCCCTTTAAAACTGCACCGAAACTGCAATTTGTTCCTTCAACCCGTTGGCCACCATTTAAGTCCACTATATGGAGAAAAATCATAAAATGTTTTCCTAAAAAACGTTAAATTTCTTTTTGACTGAAGAAAGAAAGACATGAACATCTTGGATGACAAGGGGTGAGTCAATCATCAGGAAATTTTTATTCTGGAAGTTAACTAATCCTTCAAATTTCCCTTTAGTAACTTTATACTAGGGTTGTTTTTGGTAACTTTGTGTCTTATGCTCAGTTGTTATTTAGGCTTTGTTATTTCTTTCATATACATTCCCCTAGCTGAAATGCAACTGACATCAGAGTGGGATTTAGACATGGTTCCCATCATGATGTGGTGCTTTTAAAACTGAGTGTTTAAGTGTAACAACCACTACAAAAGTGTAAAAGAGCCATCTCTAAGTCTTTATAGTGACTTTCTTTCTTTCGACAGTTGAAATTACAGACTCTACACCATCTCCCCCAGCAACAAAAGATGTGACAAAGCGCTTCCCTCCTGGTGACACTACCCAGGTTTCTACCGAGCCTGCGTGGCTTGCCCTAGCAAAGCGTAAGGCCAAAGCCTGGAGTGACTGCCCACAGATCATCAAGTGATCCATTGCCGCAGACCAGTGAAAAAGCGAATAAGTTATCTCCTTCTTCCACATCACTTAGCCTTCACAGCACCCCAGCTCACCTCTTGCTCTGAACAAAGTCTATAATTTACTTTCTAGCATTTCAGAATATTTGGTATTTTAGTAATAAAATATTCACTATATTCAATATATATCAGATTCACGAAGGATAAACAATTACATCAACCCACCCGTCCGGTTTTCAATATACTGGATTATTGCAACAACATGCATCAAAAGTATATTTACTCATTTGTGTCACAGCCAATTAAACAAGCCCTATAATCTTCAGAGAAGTTGCAGCCCTTCATATCCTTGAAGTCGCCAGTGGTTAACAGCGTAATATACACAATGCATGTCGAACTGTTGATTCTAGATATTACTAAAACAATATGAGTGGTTCACATTAAGTACAAATTAAACTTTTCAAGTAAAACAAGAAGGTATGTTATTGCTTTGGTGATAAATCTGGGAAGCAATTCAAGGGCTAATAATAACACAGCTGATGAAACCTTCACAAATTCAACTCCTCGCTCCCACAAGCATGTAAATCAGAGAAATGGCTTTGTCATTTTTCTTTTTTTCCATGTATACACTCAACTGAGTTGACACTCATAGACCTCGCCGATGCACAGACGTTGTCACTTTTTTATTTCTTAACTTATTATATTTGATATCTTGGCAAAGTAAAAAGATCTTCACTGTGTCCGTGACAACTGTGAGTACTTTCATTTGAACTATTGCTACAACTCATCATGATAATGACACGTCAGCACTGTTTACTCATATAATTAACTAACAATTTTTCCTTCAAGTTTCCATGACATCATAGTATATACTGTATGCACTTGAGCCGTGCTGTCAATTGATGAAAAATCTACTTCTTGCAGTGTCTATACCCGCCTGTTTCTGTAGAATTGGTTGCCTGGGATCCGTCTGCTTGCTGTAACATAACCAATGCTATCCTGGCGTAGCGTGTGCTAGCATCTTTTACCACTAATTAGCAAAACCTGCATCACGGCTAAGTGATGGGAGATCAGTGTTTCAAATGCAACGTCCCAGGGTGGAGGGGAGTAAGAACAAGAGGTCTAGCCAATGGAAATATCCTTTACAAAAAAGGAAGCATTTCTAGTGAGAGAATGAATGGACTATTAACGCACATCACCTCTACGTCCTTGAATAAGGCAGCTAACCCCAGATCGCTCCAGGGGGGATTGTCCTTGTAGGCGAAGTTGCTCTGGATAAAAAGGGTCTGCTAAATGATGGTTATTAAACGGAAGCCTTGATCTCTCAGCAGAGCCACTTACTCCACTATCTAATGTAATGTTGTATGTATGTAATGTATGTAGGTATGTATGTATGTATAGAAGTGAAATGAAGCGGACTGTATTCCTTTGGAGATCTCCTGAACTGCAGTCACGCCACTTTGTTTTTACATTGGTCGTGTGCAATAGTGTAGCGTAAACAGTGTTGTATGTGATATAAAACAAAAAGTTTGTTTATAATTGCACTTTTTTTTTCCACTTTAGAAAAACCCATTACAGAAAAAGTGACGCAAATGTTATGAAATATGTAGAGAAAATTAAAGGAAGCTGTTTGAACTCGGTGGACTGAAATTCCTGTGTTTGCACAAAAGCAAACATGAACATAAATGCTAAAATATAGTACATACTGAATATATCCATGTATTTCTTTAATAGGCGCTTTTGGGAGTCACCCATAAAAATATATTTATCCAGTTGCATGTTGTGATTAATCACTGCTTGGCCAGTTCTAGACAGTAAACATAATCATTGCGACATCCCACCACTATCTTATGCCCCCATACGACAGGAGAGGAAAAAAGCTCGCCTGGCAAAGACAAGGTGGCCTTCAGTGAGCCGGTTTCTCCATCTAAAATCCACACGTTTCCATCAGTGGAGCACACAGCCACTAGTGTTCTCAAACCCCATGGATCACCATCAAACACAAAGGGAGATGAGAACACCTTGCCTGTGGTCTGGAACTGCCACAGTAATGATCCGTTATCACCATTTACACAGTATAAATGACCGTCATGTGACCCACATGTAACTGTGTGACTGGATAATGTTGATGTGCTTCTGCTGGGTGTTGTAGAAACCTGCTGATTAGTCCAAAATGTCAAAGAGGAAATGCATGGCGATGAGAAGATTGGTCCTTTAGTGGAGAATTCCCATAACTGCAAAATAATGTAACAAAAATGCAATCAAATAACTCAAAATCAATGGAGGCATTCTCATAATCATCTGTAATTAAACTGTAATATTACTGGATTACATCTGAAGAGTAAAGGAATATTGCCATAAGCCTCTTTTTAATTCGCTAAAAATAAGGTTTGAAAAATGAGTGCAATATACATAGAAAAAAAAGCATTGTTGTTTATTGCTCTACCTGTGAAGACCACAATTATGAAAAATAAGAATTAAAATCGTGATTAAAGTCATGTATATTTAATTTATCATCTCTTAGAGCAACTTTTCCTTTTTCCTCTCACCGTATCTCCAGTATGGCTTATTCCAATAATTTGTCCATTTACTGAACCAATGAAGACAGAGGAATCAGAGCAGCGAGGAGATGAGAAAAACGGGACACTGCTGGAATATGTCCACAAGAGTTTTCCACTGTCCTGGACAGACAATTAATGGAGAATGACAAGATAAATGTTAGCCTTTAAACATGACCTCTGATCCTACAGTATATGCTCCATTCTTAAGACCTTTCATATCAGAGAAGTTGGCTTATAAGCTTTGAAACTTAAACACTCAATACTAATATTTTTTTAATATATCTTTTTCACTCTTATGAAGATAGAACATTTACTTACTGGATCAAGACAGTGTAGATTCCCTCCCAGAGTACTACAGTATAACTGTCTAGGAGACGAGTGGATGCAAGGGGATGAAAATACTGCACCTCCACCACAATAGTGCTGCCATATACAAGTCTTAGCCTGGGAGAGATAGACACAAATCTGTGAAATGTCAAGGGAATATGCAAGAACATATTTACAAAAAACAGAATACAACTAATTTAATAAACATTTAGATGTAACAACATTGTTAGTGTTAACTAAAACAAACTATTACAAATATTTTTGTTTAATGAAATAAAGTTGAAATGAAATGAAATATAAATATCATACTCAAACTTAAAACTTGTATGAAAATTAGACTAATTGAAATAAGTTACTAAACTAAAACTGAAATAAAGTTTAACAGAAATATATATTTTTTAAATTAATAAAAACAAAAAGGCACAAATTACTTAAACTCAAATTAAAATGAAAACTGAAAATATACAAATAAAAGCTACATAAAAAATTTGAATAAACACTATAATAGTATATTAATAATACTAAAACAACACTAATTAGCACTACAGAAATATAATTAAACAAAATTGAGTATTTCTCTTGTATGTTACCAGTGGGTCTAATGCATAAACAAAGCCATCATGCGACCCTGTGAACATCAGCCCAGTTTTAGGGTCTACAGTAGGGGAACTTTTCACCACATCCCCAGTCTCAAACGTCCACACAGTCTCCCCACAGGAAACATTCAGGAAATATATCTGTCTGTCATAACAGCCTGAGAAAAAGGGTCAAATTCAGGTTACAAATGTGGATGACAAATAAATTGATGAATAAATTGAATCCTGAAATCCTTTAGGTAACAACCTTATTACAACCACGTTAGTTCCTTTAATTAAATTAAGCATTCCTTTTAAAATCAAGTACAAACCAACTGCTACAAGGCTTCCACATTTGGAAATGGCAGCTGAAGACTCCAGTCGATCTCCGAGGATACGCTCCCAGATGACCTCTCCATTGGACAGGTCAAGAGCCTGCAGTCTGTGCGAGTGAGAGCCAATGAACACGGTGGTCCTGTCAGGACCCACCAGCAGCACTGGAGAGGCGTCCACACACCTGCCTGTGTCTGAGCTCCAGAGGACCCGCAGGCCCAGCAGCAGGACATTGGAACGGTCTTCCCCTGAACCTTCACCTGGGCTCTTACTGACAGGTAACGTCTCAGTAACTTCTTGAGGAAAATGGGGTTCTGTGATCTTTTTAATAGCAGGATTTTCCTGAGCTATATTATGAAGTTTGTGTGAGGGATTAGATATTAAACTGTCTTCAGAAGTACTTGTCACCGTAAGCTTACTCCCGTATGTTCCTAGTGCATCTGAGATGTTTTTCTCTTGCATTTTCCGAAAACAACCCCAATCAATAACCTCACCAGCTCGTCTCACAACTACAAATCCCATAGTCCTTCTCACTGAGGGAACTACAAAACCCACTGTGCTTTCTGTAGCATTCACTGTGCTCATTTCCTTCTGTTGTCTTTTGGGTGAAACTAAAGAGCCTGAATAATCCAGCATTCTCTTCTTTGATGGCTGGATTGCATTGCTATGCGTTTCTGTCATGACGTGGCTAACCACATCTGAGAAAGAGCCATCTAATATGACCTCCAGCAGGCCCACAGAGGTTGTCCCCATGGCAACAGTGATCTCATCACAGAGACGCAGGGCCTGAAGGGAGTCTCCTCCACTTAACATGAAGTGTGCATCTTCCTCAACCGCCACATCATTTGGCAGGCCAAGACATTCCTAATATACACAGACAAACACACAATGGCAGTTTCACTCAGCAGGCAATGGGAAAGATATTATTTAAGAAATACCTCCATGTGTCAAACAATAAGAATGGTAACACTTAAGTATAGGGACCAATTCTCACTATTTATTCATTCTTACAAAGCACATATTCTGCATTATCATATTCTACATCCCTAATCTAACCCAATACCTGAACTTCACAACTACCTTACTAAGCAGTAATTAGGAGTTTATTGAGGCAAAAGTCGTAGCTAATAGTTAATTAGTAGCAAGAATTGGACCTTAAAATAAAGTGTGACCATTAGGACTAGTACATTTTGTGCAAAAAGAGTAAATCCTATTTATACCTTCCATAGGGTCTGTAACTTCATTCTCACAGATTCAATGTCTTTCCATACAGTTTGTGTATTTATATCTTGTTTTTGAGTGTCACACATCCTCATCAATTCGTCAATGGCTATTTTACCTAAAAATACATGCAACAGGAATATAAAAATGACTGAAATCTATGACCACAATGAAAACACATTCATAGAAATGCAAAAGATTAATGAAACAAAAGGAAAATGTCTAATGATAATAATATTTTAGTACATAGTCTATTTTTATTTAGCCTTTTAGGTTTTATTGCTTAAAAAGGACACTTGCAATCATATTATACTTGTGAATGAAATGTATATAAAAACATTCATATATAAATTTGTATTTTGTACATAATGTATAAATAAAAACAAGATAAATGGCATAAAAGGTTCATTTAAATTTAAATTATTATATAAATTAATTATATTTTGATTGGTTGACATGAATTAAAATTATTAGCAGTACTTCAAAGGACAATAACTATAACAATGGCGATAAAGATATGGTTTTAAAAATCACTCTAAATTGATAAGAATAGCAGAGTTCACACCACAGCTATAACAGCAATCCCTAATATAATTATCGTTAGTTATCTTTACGGTTTCTGTTCTAAGTATTGACAGGCCTTCAGAGGATGGTGCTCACTTGCCATGAGAGGTGAGTGGAAGAGCGGGAATGAAGAATATCATGTCTGGGATGCTGTGATTGGCCAAAAGCTGTGATAACCTCTGGCGAATCTCTCCTTTAATAACTTTGAGTGAGGGGGAGGGGGAGTTTCTTGAGACGTCGACAGTGGTGAGGTCTTCAGAGGACTGTGTAGGATGTTGGAAAGGTTTTTGATGAGGAAATTCAGAGGATGAAAGGGTTCCTGGTTGACTCGATGTGAGCACTATAAATGCCAGTAGCCTGTCACCCTCACTCAGGCTCACTGCACACGCCTCCACCTGAGGCAAATTCTCAATGATCTGAGCACATAAGATCATATATGCACCTATAAATACTCTTATATTTTAATATAAACACACTGCCAAAGTTGTTGCATAACACATTTATCACCTACCTGCTGCAAGGCATCTAGGTGTACCCTCTGACCAAAGCGTTTGATGAGCCGATCCTTCCTGCCCAGGAAATACAAATGGGAATCACGCACCTGCACCCAGTCACCTGTAGCACGCATTGTTCCCTCGACTACAGTTTCTTCATCATCAAGCAGACACACCCTCTCTTGACCACCTAAATAAAAGGACAAAAATTCACTGTACAAAGTCTACAAACACAAAAACTAGCAAAACAACAACCGAATGTCTAAGTAAGTACACTAACATTCACAAGTTTGGGGTCAGTAGGATTTTTTCAAATAAATTATTACTTTTATAGAGCAAGGATGCAATACAGACGTTTATAATGCTACAAACAAAATACATTTAAATAAAATCATGTTCTTTTGAACTTTCTACTCATCATAGAATTCAGAAACAAATTTATCACAAAAATATGAAGCAGCACAGCTGTTTTCAACATTGATGATAATAAGAAATGTTTCTTAAGCAGCAAATCAGCATATTAGAATGATTTCTGAAGGTTCATGTGACACTGAAGACTGGAGTAATGGCTTCTGAAAATTCAGCTTTACCATCATGGGAATAAATTATATTTTAAAATTGAAAACAGTTATTAAAAGCTGTAAAATTAGGGGTGTAACGGTACACGTAATCGTACCGAACCGTTTCGAATACAGTTTTTTTTTCTTCTCAGGAAATTCAAATGATAAATGGCGTTTTGACTGTCTTTTATGTGGCATGACAGATCGCTGTACAAACGCCTTAGAGAGCCGCTTCTGGGACGGTTCAGAAACGTGCTGGTATAATCCCAACACAAGGGTGATCAGCTCCGGTTCCCGTGTCTGAGCCGTGCCGCCCCGCTGATTTGTGCAGAGCGCGATCATTCCTTCCTCTGTACTACTAGTTTTAACGCGAATAAACATGACTGAACATCTCATGCCTCATGTAATTGTTCAATCAGTGTTTCAACCGCGGAAAGCTCTATTTAAAAATAAATAGCAATTAAATTTAAGTTTGGGTTAAGTTAGGCCTAACTGTAACCTTATAATGTAAAAGGGCTCCCTATAGTTTTAAGCATAAGCTGAGGTAGATTTTTATCACTAAGAAAATGTAAACTATAACTGAATGTATTTAAAGAAAGAGCAACTTCTTCAGTAAACCATTAAAAAAAAAATAATAATAATAAAAAAAAAGTTTAGTTTTCCCCCCTGCTGTACCGAACCGTGACGTTAAAACCGAGGTACGTACCGAACTGTCATATTTGTGTATCGTTACACCCCTATGTAAAATACATTTCATCATTTTACTGTTTTGACAATTGTACCATACCAATGAACAGCTGTCCTTCTCCTTCAGTGACGAGACGTCCTGTCTCATCTCTCACCTCCATTACGGTATCCAACATTGGCTCTCCAAGGGGCACAAATTGATCAGTTCTTTAAAATAATACATATGATACATAAACAAACAATGCATTACAAGAAATGGATAAATAATACTACTAATTTAGCATGATTTTTTTATGTCAATTCAAAATAAAGCAGTGGACTTTGAGAAAACATTCTCTATAGACTGTTAATATGACTGTTTTTGTGGCTGATGCGTCTTTACTAGAGTGTTATTTTAGTATTATTTACATACTATTCGAGTTTTTAATAAATATTTTGAATGAGCTTTTATATTTTCAGTTTTATTATTTTATGATGTGCTTGTCATTTGATTCGTTTCCGCATGTCACTCACATGTCCTCCAAGCACAGGTGTTTGTCTGGGACTTTGTAACAGCTTGCCCAGCAAGAAACTTCTGTGGTACCGTAAAGATTACAGATGTGTGTGCCATTGCCTTCCTGTCTCCAGCTCTTGAGAAGACTTGGAGATGGACATGGCTCTCCTCCAAAAGCCAATAACCTCAAGGGTGAATAAGCACTAAGCACCTCCTCCTGAAGGATACGCCTTCCAAAGCGCCTCACAAGAGTGGGAGTGGCCTGGAAAATAATTAAAAGTCAATTATAATATTTTAGTATAGAACAGTACTATATGTTGTGTAAGTCATCTCGCACTTTACTGACACCTAGTGGTGTGGAGGAAGCATGGCATAAATGGTTTCAGCTATAAATGCTGAAAAATCATGGTCAGCCATGATTAACCACACTGCCCACTGTCCAATGATGACACATGGACTATTTTAACAATGTCCTTACTACGTTTCTGGGCCTTGAATGTGGTAGTTCCCTTGCTGTCTAATGCATGGTCAGAAAGCTCTCGGATTTCATCAAAAATATCTTAATTTGTGCTCCTAAGATTAACGAAGGTCTTACGAGTTTAAAACATCATAAGGGTAATTAATGACAGAATTTTCATTATTGGGTGAACTATCCCTTTAAGAACTGGAGTGTGAAATGAAATTCTGAGCGATGCAAAACATGTTACAGTAAAATATTGAAAACAAATTGTTGCTGCATGTAGATAAATGAACAAATGCCAAAGAACACACTCATTATCTCTGTAATCTGCATAATGCAGAAATTTCAGCTCACTACACCCACTACCAATGTTGATTACAGCACCATCATCATCTCCTCACAGCGTGTACACATTCATGACAAAGATAAATAGACAGATGAAGTGATTTGATTTTTAAAATCTCTAATTATAGGCTGTCACAAAAAGGAGTCTGTCCCACGACTGATGGTTTGGTGAGGAATAAAGTTACTTGCCTGTAAGACTGTTGTTTTGTTTCGTTTAAACAGCACATTTGCAAGTCTGCGTGGCATCTTTTTAACAGCTGAGGGGACAATTAGGAGACACGCTCCCGAGGACAGGGCCAAAAACACCTCCACCACAGAGGGGTCAAAAGTTAATGGAGAGGACAGTAATACAACATCTTCTGCAGTCATCTTAAAGACAGATCTGTTGATAAAATAAAAAAATGTTTTATTTATTTTTATGAATTCTATCCTCCAATTTCAACACAATATTTTTGCTATAGCTGTCAGGTAAATAAGTGAACACATTAAGACCACATTGTCATACATTCAGGTAAAAATAAACTACATAATAAATACACATTTGAACTAAAAGTTTAATGTGTTCTTACCTTAAATGTGTAATATTAGGCACAATACACCTGTGTGGGACCTTCACTATTTTTGGAAGCCCTGTTGTTCCGGATGTGTGCAAAACATAAGCCAAAGGCTCTCTCTGTTGGATGTCTTTGGTCATAGCAGAGCTGGAACGCTGATCGGACATTTGAACGTTTGCGTCCTGTTCACTTTGTATTTTTATCAAAGTGAGCCTATGTGAAGACAATGTTGCACATATTTCCAGGGATAGCAGGTTGGAAAATGCACTCTGGAATTGCTGTTGGTTATGAAACAACAATATTAGTAATAATATATAATGACTAGTATAATATAATATAATATACCTACATTAAGCAGTTCGTTTTGTAATAAACAGTAGTTCAGCCTGCACTTGTTTATCATTCTCAGGTTGCACAAAGGTGGTGATGCAGGATCAAGAGGTACATATGCAGCAGGAAACTGCAGAATACTGTTCAGAGAAGAAAACATTTGAATGATATGCACTAAACTATAAGACATTTGTTTAGTGTAATAATTAGATGCTAGAATAACCCGGTAGTCATGCAACACACACTGCATAACTAATCGTACCCAACAATCCAGGCAGGAAGGAGGACATCTGCACGACAGAATAACCCTATGGTACCATCATGTTTCTGGACAGAGATGCGCAGGTGTCCAGTTAATTCATTTGCGAGGGAAATAACTTCATCATATGTCAAACAGACACGCGCTGCAATGCTGCTGTCGAACGCGACAGCTGTTTTATTACCATGAGCACGCGCTGCATCGTGCACCAATTCATGAAGCAATTTTGCTGTCATATCTGAGCGAAAATTATACTAAATCATAATCTGAGAAATTGCAACGTAAATTTTCCATATATTCCCGTCCGTTTAGGAGCGCCTGTTTTGCAAACTAGCCATAACCAATTCATGAACGAATTTGAGTCAAATGCTTTTTGAACCGGTTCACAAAGGTTTGAACGACTCGTTCACGAAGCAGACTGAATCGGGTCATTTGTTCTGTCCGAGCGGTTGTCATTAATGTAAACATCGATTGTTTTTCAGACAACAGATGTACATTTTTGTATTGTTTGATGTAAAAGCAAAGTACATTTAAGTTCCAAATTACTTTATGTGCTGAATCATGGCTGCAACAAATATCTAGGGCACATGGTATTACAATATACGACTTTTCTTAATAAAACGTACTCGCAAAACAGAAATAAACAGTCATTTGTGCATATAAAATAGCAGAGAACCACATGGACAAAGAATCTCTTTTGTGACTGCTTTTTGAACGAAGTGTTCAAAAGAACCGATTCGTGGAAATGACTCGTACAGCCCATTTGACAAATTCGCGCTTTAAGATGACGTTTCGGTGGTGCTTGAAAGAACGTCCAATCACAGCTCGATTTTTTTACTCGCGGAAAATTTTGAAAGTCCAGGCGAGCCGCTGGCTAAGTGCAAAATCTCAATTTATGTTGGTCAAATAAATTGGTTTGCAATCGATTTTGTTAATGCAACATGTCTGCAAAACCTTTATATGCAGATCAATTCAAGAGAAATTACGATGTGTTCAGAAACACGATGGAAGCTATTTTTCAGAAGGTACGCAACGTTAGAGTTACAACAAACGTGCGAACGTTTAAGATGAAGTCCATGTATTGGTGCATGTCTTACCGAATGTTATGTTTCTAAAAAAAACTAGCGAATCCATGTTGTAACGTGTAGCTTTAACAGAGCATGTTTATTGCGTCCTTTATAGTATTCTAGTCTGAATGATCCTGGGATAGACGTCTGTCTGAAAACAATGACCTGCAGGACTGGTAGAGGTAAGCCAAAATATAGAAATTAAAAACTGACATCTAAGCATTTCTACTCGCTGCTGTGGGTTAGGTAAAAAAAAAATGTTGTGTTGTTTTCACCTGTACAGTCAGATTTGTTTCTGAGTTTGTGTATTATGTGACTACAGGTCCTGTGCCCATTGACAGTGCAGAGGGAGAACGTGAGTTGGAAACATTAAAGGTGAGAGACATTGTTGTAAATATAACCTAGAAAACGCATATCTAGAGGAATGTTTTCTGAAATATTTAGATTTTGTTTATTTAAAGGGGTCATGATGTTGCTAAAAAGAACATTATTTTGTGTATTTGGTGTAATGAAACGTGTTTATGCGGTTTAAAGTAAAAAAAACACATTATTTTCCACATACTGTACATTATTGTTTCTCCTCTATGCCCCGCCTTTCTGAAACGCGTCGATTTTTACAAAGCTCATCATTGTGAATAGCGAGGTGTGCTCTGATTGGCCAGCTATCCAGTGCGTTGTGATTGGCTGAATACCTCAGGTGTGTGAAATGTTACGCCCCCGCACATACTGTGGTACGCCCATACGCCCCAACCACATGTGACGACCCCGGGCTGGACTCCGCTTGGTCCACGGTTAAAGCCGATCCGGGATCCACAGCGCGAAGTTGATGTATTTCCTCAGCGACCAGCACAGATCAGCTCCAGGCATGACGAAGCAGATATCGTCCTCTTTTGGAAGGCCAAACAAAGTAGTTTCGCTTTCACAACGAAACACACAGCGCCTTCACGTCTTGGCAGCGGCGGCAACAACAATACTACAGCGAGAATAAAAGTTACGCCTTCTTTCTTTGCGTGAACATTTGGGCAGCGTTATGCAAATCTTCCCACATAGTGAGGTAGACATGTGGGGGCGCGTTGGAACGAGCCGTTTTAGGTAGGCGTGGCTGACTCTTAATTTTCATAAAGAATATCTCTTTAAATTTGAGACTTTAGTCTTTGCAACTTTACAGATCTTCTTTATGCACCAAGAGCTTGTAACACTCCAAAGAGAAAGGAAAAATTTTAATCACATCATATGACCCCTTTAATAATCATGGACATAATAAATTCCTGTTGTAAATAAGATGTTGGTGTTCTTCAGTAGTATGTAATAATGAAAGTACGAGTAATACACAAGTTTACATTAGCTTTGACCTAAAATGTGAGCGTTTTTTTGTTAACCCATATGTGTGTAAGTTTGCACAATGGTTGTATTGGGATATTACATTTATTTTCTTATATGCAGAGTCAGACTCGAGTTAAATCAGACTATTCAGTGAGGGGTAAGGAACATAATTTTGTTGTTTTGAGTATAATACCATGTCCACATTTCTCATGCTTAATCTTTTTGTCTTGTATTTTATAGAGTTTGAGGACCAGGAGAATGATCAGGTAGTAAAAAGAAAATAATAGATTGTAAAAAAAAGAACAAAAATATATATTTTTTAACTTATTTTGTTTTTCCCACCAGTTTCAGATGGATGTGTCAGGGGTCACTGAGGATGATCTTAATAGCTCAGGTCAAAAGGAAAACAAGGAAAATCTGTGTAAGCAATATTTATATAAATTTAAACAAAGTAACCCTGCACTTCAGCACAAAATAAACATTTCAATTAGTATTTCTGTGTTGTTTACAGTAAAATATTTATGAACTACACACTGTATGCTCTTATGTTCATTTATGAGCTGACATTCATTTTGGAGCCAAGTCATGTCTCAATGATAATCTTCTAGGGCACGGAGGTGAATCATTCCCACTCTCTATGATTCTGAATAACACATCTCCTGAATCTCTGTGGGGTGAGCTATCTCCACCTGAAGAAGAGGATGAAGAACTGGAGAAAACACTGAGCAGCCATGGCAGTACCCTCCTGGATGTCTATCCCAGCATGCTCAACCAGATCGGCGAAGCGTACCGGCGACAGCACATGACTGATTCGGCAAGGGCCGTGGTGCAGAAGTACCGCCGCAAACATTGGCAAACCGGCCCGACGCATCGCAACACATCCTTTAAGAACAGACACAACTGCACTCTCAACAAAACTACAGAGATCTCATTTTCCAGTCAAAGTCCAGTTCGAAAAAACATTAGCAACTCTTTCAAGAGCAGCGACAAACTTCAACATTTGCTGAAGAACAAACCAAGGTCTTCGCCACTCAAAAATTCACCCTGCGAGGCCAGTGCCTGTTTTTACTCACCCAGGAGGAACAGCACAGACGTGAGCAGTGTGAAGGATGAGTGTCCATGGACTGATTTGCATTTAACCAGTAAACCTGCTCGTGTGATTGACTTGTCCACGCCTCCACATTCAGGTTCCCCCTCATTTAGTGACCAATCTCCAGATCTGGACCAAACCTATGATGTTGGACCAACATTCCATGCTGTTCCAGCCTCATCGGTCCTTAGTTCTCCACAACAAAGCAGAGCTGATCTGTCTCTAATTGACCAGAGAGGAATATCAGTCACCTCCCGACCTTCCTCATTGGACAAAGAATGTTTCAGGGACCGCATACATTCTCCTGTCCCCTCCCCACAGCACGGTCTCATTGGTGTTTTGTCTCCTAGTGGGAAAAGTAGCTTCAGACCTAGTGTGCTGAACATAGAAAGGCAATTAAATGCAACAGCAAGTCCAAAGCAAAGGTCTCCTGTCCACCATCTATCCCATTCTGAGGTCCTCAGATCTCCTTATGGTGTCAAACAGGTGCCGTTGTCATCACCCTGGCGGTCTGTTTATGTCCACCCTGACCAAAGCTTATCCAAGGTGGAGAAACCGTTGCGTTTTACTCCATCCAACCGTCAACGCTCTCTTTCTGGCCCGCAGTCCACTTACTCATTCAGCGAACCGCAGATTGATGCCGAGTTCAGAAAGCTGTATCACCACTTCATCTGTCGTGGCACATCATCACCGTGTCCTTCCTCCCAGTGTCACCTGTGTGAGAGACACATGAAGGAGACAACCCGAAGCCCCAGCTTTTCCTCCTCCAGCATGTCTGCTCTCGCTCTGACACCCCTGAGGGCCAAGCTCAAGAAACGCCGCCGTCTACCTGAAGTGGAAGAGTCAATCCGATTCAAACGCTTCCGAGAGAGTCATTCTCCACTTAAACATCTACAGTTGAGAGACCAATATATGGGCCCTGGCATATCAGAACCTACTGAAGACAAACACACCTGGGATAGAGCCGTCCTGCTGCAGTGCCCTAGTCCACGGTTCCTCAGGGGCACCGGAAACCTCAGGAGAATCAGGGAGGCTAAATTAAGCATGCAAATGAACCCACGTGCTTTGTCTTGGGTAAGAGCATTATTGATTTAAAATTTCCATGTTTTTGATCTAATATTTATTTTGTTTTAAAGGTATTTCAGTTAACAAAAAGGATTTTTAATAGTTTAACAAAAACTTTATTTATGCAGTAAAACAATGGTTTCTCCACTTGCTTTGCAGAGAGATGCCCCAAGCGGAGTCCATCTAGCGGAGGGTTTGTAGTCACATTTTAATTTCTTAAAAATACTTGCTCTGCATCATCATGGCCTCTGTGTCTTGCTTACAGATATTACAAAATGTTAAGTTACCAATATTTTATTTCAACAGCTGTGTCACCCATGAGACTGTTTAATCAAGGTACCTCTCCACTCTCTCCAAGGTAATTTGAGCACAAAATGCTATCAGTTAATTTCTTACGGTATATGACTTTTTCTGGATGTACCAATATAACAAATCTGTCTAATTAAGTTGAGATTAAAATGTTATTTACACCTATTTTGCGTAACTAAAACAAAATTTAACCAAAATGTATAACTTTAAAAGCTATAAATAGTGATTACAACATATGTACAATAAAAAAAAGACATCTAACAGTGTTATCAAATTATTGTTTTAAAGGAACTTTGAGTAAAAATGGGCAAAATAAGCATACACATGTAAATATAAAAAAATAGACAAAATCTCCAATACTAGGCTGCGATTCCCAAAATCATTGTAAGCTCAAGTACATCATAGACCCATTGAAACCAATGGAGCTACGATCAATTTAGGCTTATGATGCTTTTGGGAAACACAGCCCTGGCCAATAACCAACATAGTAATATGTTGTGCATTCCTAAATTTTCTTCGTTTTTCCTGAAATATGGAGGTTTTTGTGCTTTGTTATTTGAGAATGATCAGATATTCTCCGAGTCTATAACACCGTGATTAAGAATCTGTTTTCTTCAGTCTCTCCAGGAGGCGACTGCAGTACAGTTTTCTGCAATGATGAGCTTTCCTGTACGCATCCCACAGCCTGCCTGTTAACCCTTGTGGGATAAACAATATATGTTGTGACTATATAAAAGTTTACCCAAGTGAAAAAACATGGGATGACATCAATGTGTAGACACATATCTTAAAAATCAGTAGTCCTGTTTTCTTTTTTGAAATATATATATATACACCTGTAAGTGCAGCTGTTTGTTATATTGTTTTTGTGTAAATATATTTCCATCACTTTCTCGTGTTTTAATATGATCAATTTTAATAGAACCCAGTGTTATTTTTAAACAAGTGTCTTAAGTACACGTGCATTGATGAATGATATGTTTGTCTGTAAATAATTCAAATGTTTTGTTTCAACAAATTTTTTAATAAACGTGCATTTCACATACAGAGTTTCATTTTGTGTGCTCTTGAGGACTAACAGAAAAGCAAGACAATCTGTTTCTTTAAGAACAGCTGCTAATGCGCACATTAAGTAAACAAAAAGTTGAGAAGCTTACATGGGTACTGAAACAGATCTAATAAAATAGTTTTGATATTTACAAGATAGTGTTTTTACTAGACAAGAATCTTAACCAAACTAGTGGTTTGAAATCTGACAGCAACAGGAATGCTTTTAATGCAGCTCTTAAAAGGAATGTTTGAAAATTGAAAAATGCATGGAATGTTTTATTTTGTGTTTAATTCTAACAGTATATAGCCTGCCTTACGACATTTACAACTGCAACAAATGTTAAAGCAGCAGCACAGTTTTAATTCCAGTTTTAGTCATTTTAACAAATGATTTCAAAAGAAACAAACAAAAAAAAAAACTATTCTATACAGAAATGAATATACATTTATGTGGGCCGAAATTCACCACTCCAGCTCCACTGGGTATTTTCCTGTGAGACAGGCTGTGCAATGACCAAATCTAGTAGTCTTAGTGCTGATCCTCTCATCTTTCCCATGTGACTCTATCCCACCTTGAACAGCAGATACCAGACCTTCAACTGACAGATAACGGACACTTGTAGCACCTGTTCAAAGCAAAGAAAATATAATTATCAATACATTTTTCTGTTTTCAGATGGGAAGTATTTTTATACTTTTCATAATTTGTGTATTCATTACAAAACCTTAGCGATTAAGCAAATCTCTGCTCCTGACTTACCAATGTAACCCGCTATATCCTCAAACTCTGGTTTATTAGCAATTAGCTCCTCTTTGGTAGGAATGTTAATGCCCATGTAGCATGGGAACCGGATTGGAGGTGATGCAACTCGAATGTGGACCTGTGATGTGTCATGTGACATCACAAAGACACTGCTGCTTAAAACAGATCAAAGCAGTAAACATACAGTACTGATTCAAATATATATAGTTTTAGTCATTTTAACAAATGATTTCAAAAGAAACAAACAAAAAAAAAAACTATTCTATACAGAAATGAATATACATTTATGTGGGCCGAAATTCACCACTCCAGCTCCACTGGGTATTTTCCTGTGAGGCAGGCTGTACAATGACCAAATCTACTAGACTTAGTGCTGATCCTCTCATCTTTCCCATGTGACTCTATCCCACCTTGAACAGCAGATACCAGGCCTTCAACTGACAGATAACGGACACTTGTAGCACCTGTTCAAAGCGAAGGAAAAACAAACAATGAAACCACATAATTATAAATGACATTTTTCTGTTTTCAGATGGGAAGTATTTTTATACTTTTCATAATTTGTGTATTCATTACAAAACCTTAGCGATTAAGCAAATCTCTGCTCCTGACTTACCAATGTAACCCGCTATATCCTCAAACTCTGGTTTATTAGCAATTAGCTCCTCTTTGGTAGGAATGTTAATGCCCATGTAGCATGGGAACCGGATTGGAGGTGATGCAACTCGAATGTGGACCTGTGATGTGTCATGTGACATCACAAAGACACTGCTGGTTAAAACAGATCAAAGCAGTAAACATACAGTACTGATTCAAATATATATTTTTTTACCTCTGTTGCACCTGCTTCCTTCAGCAGTTTAATAATAGGGGAGATGGTGTTGCCCCGCACAATGGAATCATCGATAAGCACCACTCGTTTGCCAGCAAAGTTATCAGTCAACGCCCCAAACTTCTTGGCAACTCCAAGCTGACGTAGGCGAGTGTTTGGTTGAATGAACGTTCTGCCCACGTAGCGGTTCTTACACAGCACCTCTACATATGGAAGGCCAGACTGAAAAAGAGACGGAATGTAGAATTTTGTAAGGGCACAACATGAACCAATAAGGCATTAAGACTGATGTGTACAGCATCATTATTACTCACTTGTTGTGCGTATCCTAATGCTGCAGGTGTGGCTGATTCTGGAACAGTGCTCACTACATCAGCATCAGTGGGAGCCTCAATGGCCAATTGCCGTCCACAGCGCTGCCTCACTGTATATACCATCTGACCTGTAAGACAGAAAAAAAAACATTTATTTCACCTATTACTATGTCATGATTTTAATATTTACTACCGTTAAATTTTTTTGTGGTCAGTAAGATTTTGTTTTTGAAAACTTAACTTTTAACATTTTATTTTTAAATAAAATGTATTTCTGTGATGGCAAAGCTGAATTTTCAGCAGCCATTACTCCAGTCTTCAGTGTCACATGATTCTTCAGAAATCATTCTAATATGCTGATTTGCTGCTCATGAAATACTGTATTTATTATTGTTACCAATGTTGAGAATGGTTGTGCTGCTTAATATTTTAAAGGAAACCAGGATATGTTTTTTTTAATCAAGATTCTTTGATAAACAGAGTTTATAAGTACAGTAGTTGTTTGAAATAGAATTCACTGCTGGCAAGATGCGTTTTCAATAAAAAAAATTGTCTAGTGTTTTTTTTTTTTAAAGGGGACTAGAGAAAACGGAGCAAAAGGCCTGCTGTGTTCCCTTTTGCTAAAAAGGAGTGGTGCCACGATAAATCGATTCGTGGATTAATTCTTGGATTTTCTGAATGCATCACGATTCTCTTTTGAATCGATTCTGAGCTTAGTTTTTAACAGCAGATGGCACTGCGTGCTTTAGAAACCGCCGTCCTCCGATTGCTTCCAGTTCCTTACACACACACACCACTTAAACTTAAAATTATCATTCATTAAGTTCTGGAATGTTTTATTTTGTGTTTAAACAGTATATAGCCTGCCTTACGACATTTACAACTGCAACAAATGTTAAAGCAGCAGCACAGTTTTAATTCCAGTTTTAGTCATTTTAACAAATGATTTCAAAAGAAACAAACAAAAAAAAAAACTATTCTATACAGAAATGAATATACATTTATGTGGGCCGAAATTCACCACTCCAGCTCCACTGGGTATTTTCCTGTGAGGCAGGCTGTACAATGACCAAATCTACTAGACTTAGTGCTGATCCTCTCATCTTTCCCATGTGACTCTATCCCACCTTGAACAGCAGATACCAGGCCTTCAACTGACAGATAACGGACACTTGTAGCACCTGTTCAAAGCGAAGGAAAAACAAACAATGAAACCACATAATTATAAATGACATTTTTCTGTTTTCAGATGGGAAGTATTTTTATACTTTTCATAATTTGTGTATTCATTACAAAACCTTAGCGATTAAGCAAATCTCTGCTCCTGACTTACCAATGTAACCCGCTATATCCTCAAACTCTGGTTTATTAGCAATTAGCTCCTCTTTGGTAGGAATGTTAATGCCCATGTAGCATGGGAACCGGATTGGAGGTGATGCAACTCGAATGTGGACCTGTGATGTGTCATGTGACATCACAAAGACACTGCTGCTTAAAACAGATCAAAGCAGTAAACATACAGTACTGATTCAAATATATATTTTTTTTACCTCTGTTGCACCTGCTTCCTTCAGCAGTTTAATAATAGGGGAGATGGTGTTGCCCCGCACAATGGAATCATCGATAAGCACCACTCGTTTGCCAGCAAAGTTATCAGTCAACGCCCCAAACTTCTTGGCAACTCCAAGCTGACGTAGGCGAGTGTTTGGTTGAATGAACGTTCTGCCCACGTAGCGGTTCTTACACAGCACCTCTACATATGGAAGGCCAGACTGAAAAAGAGACGGAATGTAGAATTTTGTAAGGGCACAACATGAACCAATAAGGCATTAAGACTGATGTGTACAGCATCATTATTACTCACTTGTTGTGCGTATCCTAATGCTGCAGGTGTGGCTGATTCTGGAACAGTGCTCACTACATCAGCATCAGTGGGAGCCTCAATGGCCAATTGCCGTCCACAGCGCTGCCTCACTGTATATACCATCTGACCTGTAAGACAGAAAAAAAAACATTTATTTCACCTATTACTATGTCATGATTTTAATATTTACTACCGTTAAATTTTTTTGTGGTCAGTAAGATTTTGTTTTTGAAAACTTAACTTTTAACATTTTATTTTTAAATAAAATGTATTTCTGTGATGGCAAAGCTGAATTTTCAGCAGCCATTACTCCAGTCTTCAGTGTCACATGATTCTTCAGAAATCATTCTAATATGCTGATTTGCTGCTCATGAAATACTGTATTTATTATTGTTACCAATGTTGAGAATGGTTGTGCTGCTTAATATTTTAATGGAAACCAGGATATGTTTTTTTTAATCAAGATTCTTTGATAAACAGAGTTTATAAGTACAGTAGTTGTTTGAAATAGAATTCACTGCTGGCAAGATGCGTTTTCAATAAAAAAAATTGTCTAGTGTTTTTTTTTTTAAAGGGGACTAGAGAAAACGGAGCAAAAGGCCTGCTGTGTTCCCTTTTGCTAAAAAGGAGTGGTGCCACGATAAATCGATTCGTGGATTAATTCTTGGATTTTCTGAATGCATCACGATTCTCTTTTGAATCGATTCTGAGCTTAGTTTTTAACAGCAGATGGCACTGCGTGCTTTAGAAACCGCCGTCCTCCGATTGCTTCCAGTTCCTTACACACACACACCACTTAAACTTAAAATTATCATTCATTAAGTTCGAAAAGGTTAAAGCGAATTACCAGAGTGTTCTCAGTGGCCTGTGTTTACATTAATCTCATGTCATAAAAGCAGAGGTGCAAGTACATTTAACCACTTAAATTACTCAGTTGAACACACAACTGCTCTTATTCGTAAGCGTTTAAGTGTGCAGTTTAAAACTAGGCAAGAGCACCATCAGTTGATAAAAACTAAGCTCAGAATCGATTCCAAAGAGAATCATGATGCATTCAGAAAATTGCAGAATCGATCCACGAGTATAGAAACGTCAACACCCATAGTGCACAGTGTTAGATCTAAATATCTGTGAGCTGGGATACAAAAATGTGGAAGCATCAAACGACGGACATTTACTGAAAAATAAGCCAGGAGATCTGAGTGCAGGAAATATGGAGAAAGTGTACAGCTGGTTCATTTATATATACCATCGACATCTGTAACAATACAAGGTGGTTGAAAGTCTTAATGACCCCAATCATTTGGTTTAACCCAAACATTACGGTTATATCGCAATCTTTCCTTTCACTCAAACATAAGAATGATTTTAAACATTATGAACTTGCCTTCAAATATGGAGTCTGGCCTGGCAAAGTAAACATACTCAAATATGCAGAAGGCAGGAGGGTCTCCTTCTGGGCGTGGGACAACAATTAGGCTCTTCACTCCGTTTTTAGAGATCTGGACGATCTCTCCAGGCTGTACTTCACGATAATACCTGACAACAGAAAAATAAAACATATACCATAAACAAACTAATAAAATAAGCAACAGCTACTGTGTGCAGGCTTAGGGATGGAAACTCCTTTAAAGAAGTATATGTAGATAGCCAAAAAGAGTAATCAAAGCATTTCTGTTGGAATGATGTGAACATACTTTGCACCAATGGACTGGAAGCTGCAAGACTCAGAAGAGACCACCCAGCCTTCGGTGTCTGCTTCTCCAGCACCTACAGAATAAAAAATAAAAAAAACGAGTTTAGCACCGTCCTAGAACTAAGGTACAGCACAGACAGGCCACATGCTCCCCCTGCAGCTCTTCCCCTCACTGCTGAATCACACACCTGAGCTGTGTAGTTTGGAGATGGGTACTAGACGTCCAATAGATAGAGGCCTGTTTCCATAGGGGTCTCTCACAGCATAGATTACATCTTTATACATAACTAGCAATGAGTATGATGTAGGTGTCTCTGTCATCAGATTCTTTATGCTAAGCAAAACAAACAATAAAAATACATAAAAATTAAGACTGCAGAAGCGGACTTCATTTTGCAATCATTAATACTGACAGGGTTTAACAAGTGGTGACCCAATCAGATGGGGAAGGACATGCAAAACATACCGAGCCACCCAATCAGGAGTATCTAGCTCCTCCATGGGTGGAGTCAAAGCAAGGAGCTGGGTAATAAGCTCACTGTCTGAGCTGGTGGAGAGGCCAACGCCATGGCGCATAACCTACAAAACACAAATACTTTATATCAAATTAAAAAAAAAACTCCTCTCTTCTCCTGAAACTCTATGTCGAGTCTCATGTAATCCCTATGAATCAAATCCCACCTTTTTGCGCAGTGCGGAGGCATTGACCAGTTCTCCATTGTGTGCCACTGCAATCTTGCCATGCAGCGTGTCTACCACAAAAGGCTGGCAGTTCTGCAGCTCTGAAATGCCTGTGGTGGAGTAACGCGTGTGTCCGATGCCTAGGTTGCCATTGCGCAGCAGATTATCACTGTTTGAATGTTGTTGTTCCAGACGAGACGTCGCTGAAACATAACCCGTTTTTTAAATAGAAATTTCTCGCGTCACTGTCGTGGCTCAAACCTCGATACCTTTTATCGCGTGTCGCGGCGTCGCGTGTAGTTAGGACACGATTTTAAACAGATTTACTATTAATTTCTTGATGTGCTACATTTTTTGAATAAAGGAATGTACCTTTAATAATAAAAAAGTGCACATATTGAGACGCACTGATGGTTTTTGTTGAAGTGATAATCCACTAGAAAACATGTCTTTGAGACTAGAGTCTGAATAGAACACGTGTCCCTCTCATTCTTCCCCTTTGCTATTTTACACCAACAAAATCACGCCAAAACTGTTTTTATGAGTGATTGACTGCACAGAGTGTGACTAAAGCGGATCAAACTGGTTTATGTGAAGCGGTTAGATTAGAGCAAGCATGTGTGAGAGAGTGAGAGAGCGAGCGAGAGAGAGAGCGAGCGAGCGAGTGTGTGAGTATGAGCGAGTATGAGAGAAAAGGAGACACAGAAAGCACGAGGAAAAGCATAGACAGTTCATCACAAAGATGTGACCAAATAACCACAAAATACATTCAAAATAGACATGTTAGCACAGCCAAACACCTCTGAGCCTTTTCCACGTGTCTTATTGAGTAAGATCGACGCAGCAAGTGCAGCTCATTCGCCAAGCCACTTCTCACATTTCTCCATGACCCTCCCCCTCTCACGCAGCTTAAGCCAGTCATGTGGCTGTTCTCTGTTACGTGGCTGTTCCTAACTGGCTCAGTCGTCTGGTTGCCTTGGATACTGAGCTTAAAGTCAACAGGGAGGGGGAGGAGAGAGGATAAAGGCAGAGACACCAAACAGAAGCCATTTCTAGGCAAGCTTAGAAACATGGAGCCTGAAACAGACCAACAAAGGCATGCTGGGGAGGACAAGAGGCAGAGGGACACAGTTGGACACTGGAGAGGGGAGGAAGTGAAAGCTCTGCTTTCCGTGTGGAGGGAGAGACAAGCCTGGGAAGAGGAAGAAAGCAGGGCCAAGTATGAGGCCATCTCAAGCCGTCTGAGAGAGCTTGGGGTGTGTAGGGACTGGCTTGACTGTAAGGCCCAGAGTAGGAGCATGGCTCTTCCAGACTGGAGGCCTACGCAGACCGCATACAAACACTCTTCTGCAGATAGCAGGCCGCCGACCCAAAGGCCTTACGTGGCAGATGAAGAGCCGACGGCTGCTAGAAGAGAGGAGCCTGCTTCACTGCCAGCTCTTCAGGAAGGTAACAATCACAAGATTAACAAAGATACAACATTTTTGGATGAAACATTCGTGTTACAATTGGATATTTGCTCTCTTTTGATATTTTATATGTAGCTTGCATAATTAAACAAGTACAATAATATAAAGAAATAATATACAATTAAATAATTTTTAAAAAGTAACTTTCACTCTACAACAGCAGTGGCGAACTCCGGTCCTGAAGAGCCGCAGCCCTGCAGAGTACAGCTCCAACCCTAATTAAAACTCACCTGCCTGTAGCGTTCTTGTAACCCTTCAGACCTTGATTAGCTTGTTCAAGTGTGTTTGATTAGGGTTGAAGCAAAACTCTGCAGGGCTGCGGCTCTCCAGGACCGACGTTCGCCACCCCTGCTCTACAACAACAACAATGGTTTTCAACCAGGGGGCAGGGCCCACTAGGAGGCCTCCAAATGACTTAAATGCCAAAACTATAAAATAAAAAAAATCCGGATAATTCTTATGTTAATTCCCCTGTCAACAACATATTTCAAAACAGGACTTACATTGTCTTGAAAAACTTATATCTTACTCCATGGGCATTTTTTAATGAATAAATTTTTTCTAGCCATGTCAAACACAAACAATTTAGTGGGTCGAAATTGTGAGTAAAAAATATTTTTTAAAACATTCTTATCCTTAAATTCCCTTTCAGAAAAAAAAATTCACAAACAACTGGAAAAGTCACGGGGCTGAATTTTGTTGTGGTCTATGGAGGGCCTTGTAATCAAAAAGTCTAAAAACCTGGTGGATTTTAAAAACCCACATGGTGGATGTATAAATCCAGCCCCTATTGTTTATATTAAATACTAATGTTGCCAAACCTGTTTTTAAACAAGAACCAATTTACTTCTAGGACTGGAAGGAGGAAGGCACTGGTCTGACAAGGAGGTTCGGGCTCTCCTAACCATTTGGGCCGACAAGGAGGTTCACAAACAGCTCCAACGCTCCCACAGAAACAAGGCCATCTTCCAGGAGATGGCACGTCGGCTGGAACGGCAACATGGCGTGGTGCGAGACTGGAGACAGTGCCGAACCAAATACAAGAACATGAAATATGACTACAAAGTCAGCAAGAGTCAAGGCCGGCCGATAAGGTTCTTTGCTGAGCTTGATGCTATAATGCAGGGCAAAGACATTGAGGGTGGATTTGAAGACGACGAGTCATCTAGGAACGTACCAGACAGGGACCAGTTGGCCATGAGGCGTGAACCTGTCGAAGAACAGGTTATTAAGATCGATGACGGTAAGATTTGTGTTATTAATTACAACAAAATGGTGATGGTTCAAGTTCGCCATTAAGTTCACCTCCTGCATCTTCATGCCTTTCTTTAAGATGAAAGTCTGGCAGAGATGCAAACAATAATGAATGCCGCCACTCATCCACTGATTGCAAGAGAGACAGGTGAGTTCTGATATAAACAGAAATGTTTAATGTTGTTTCAACATCTTCAGCTTCAAAAAAAAAAAAAAAAAACTCTAAAAACTGGTTTCTGCTTCAGCGACAACAGCAGCAGCTACAAACGAGATGAACATAATTACAGTGCATGACTCGGGCAGAAACTGGAGTGAGGAAGAGGTGGCCGCACTGCTTCAGATCTGGGCCGAAGAAGGGATTCAGCGACAGCTACAGGGCTCAACCAGAAACAAAGACATATTCGTGCAGATTTCGCGCAGGCTTCTTCAGCAGGGAGTGGAAAGGGACTGGAAACAGTGTCGCACCAAGTACAAAAACCTGAAGTACCTCTATCGTTCTCTGCAGAGAGGAAAAGCCGATATCGGAGATCCTCGCCGTGTCATGAGATTTTACGAACAGCTGGATGCCCTTTTGTCCAAGCCTCCTAGAAGTCGACTGAGCTATGCCAAGTTTTCTGACACAAATAATTTACTGAGAAACTCTAGGATGTTTACTCCATCATTTGAGGAGCACTCCATGTGTGGACTTCCACAGGAGGACAATGACATTGTTGCGGTTAGATATGACCAGCCACCCATAGATGAGGCCACTTTGAGATCTCCTGCCATTTCTGCAAGGGTCTTTCAGAACCAAGTCGAGACCGAAGGCATTTTAACAAGACCAGAGGAAGTGTCAAATGTTGAATATGGGATGCCTGAAATGAATGCCACGATTGTGAGGTCAACTGGCAGCCCTCAGATAGAATATGAACAGTATGTCTCCTCTGACTCCATCACAGCTGTTATATACGACGACAGTCATAGGTACAGAAGGATCCCAGGTAATAAAAATTAATTACACCAGTGGTTTTGCATCAGATTTTACATTAGATATCATGTGGTGGCCCAAAGCATGACCAAATTTTTTGTCATAAAAGTAAACTAAAAAAAAAAAAAAAAAAAAGTTAATATATTTTTAAGACAATAATACACTGCATCAATACACTGATTAAATTATTGAATCCATATTTATTGTAGTCTAAGTTACATTTTATTTTAACTGGCAATGTTTTGTTCATGGTTTTTGAAAATGAGGGAATGTTTGAGGATGATGCAACCACAGTCCATGTTGCATTTTCTGACAGACAAATTTGTAAAATGATACAAAGCCTCTGACGTCAGCATCACAAGATATGGGAAGCATTTTTCTCCCTTAAACAAGAAGACCTATTTCTTTTGTTATACTAATTACACAATGTTGCATTTTATTATTTGCACTTAGTATTGTTTCTTCCTCTGCTGGTAGCGACACTATTTTTTGCTCATGGCCCACCGGTTGAGAACCACTTATCCTTTTAAATGAAATGTTTTGTGTTTGTCTCAATGTGTGCATACATTTCCAATGTAGATAGCAGTGACCCATCATGCACAAGTGGAGAGCATGCAGCGGCTACCAAAGGAAGAAAGAGGAAAGCTGCAGATGAAGGTTTTTCATTATTACTCAAATTTGTAATGAGCAGAGTGAGACTCAGGTGTGAGTTAATCTTGTGACTTCAGTTTGACTAATAGAATCAAGACAGGAACAAGAACACATTCATAGGATACATGGACCGCATTTCAAAACAGATGAAAATGATTTAATTTTTATACAATACAACAGTGGCAAACAATCCTGAATCTGAATGTCAAAAGAAAGGGAATCAGGATGGAACTAAGAGCCATTACACTAGAGTAAAAGAAAATATATTGATTACTGAAAATATATTAGGCTAATTATAAAATACAGTCTTCAAATGAACAAAAACTCCAGCTCTGAAGTCCAAGTTACAGGAGAAGAAAAAATAGTAAAGTTTTTTGGGGAAAAAATAGCAAGTTCTGTCCAATCAATAACTTAAACCGTACAAAGTCTGGTAGGTAAAACGATCAATGTCTTGCGCAACGCGCCCTAACTTCAGTGTAGTTTGCAAAGGTTTAGAATGATTGTTTGCTTCTAAATAATAGCAATAGATAAGTCTTTTGTCTTTTAAAGTATGCAGATTGAGATTTTCCCCACGTGGTGAAGATGGCATTACTCTGATTGGCGTTTATGAATCGGCAGAGTGTCGTAACTGGTCGTAACGCGTTGCTCTTGGGAAAAGAAATGAGTCGAGTCTCACTCTGGTCTCACTCCTCCGCGACGCACTTTATATCAGCCTTTCTCTGAAGTCCAAATATACTTCTTGAAACGTTTGCCTGAAACCCAGCGACACAGAATAATCAAGTTTCTAATCATATTTGCAGGAAAAACGAAGCTCAACAACGATGTCGAACACAACAGGTACGTTTGGTTTTATTTGTCTGCTTGATTATTTCTCTCTTCACCATGTTTTACCACAGTGCAATTATGCAGTGAATAAAATACACCCATACGGCGGGAAAAAATACTTCAGCTCTTTTTTTCAAACAGAATTAGTAACATTACTAGAGGTAATATATAAGTATTTTCAGCCAAGCTAAATCAGAATATGGGTCAATGTCAATTCTGTAAAAAGTAAAGTAGACATCTTTTCAAATCTAGTTTAAATCACGTGACAAGTTTTTCCCTAGGCTTGGTCCATTTGTGCTCAACACAATATGTCTTTTCATAATAAGATAAGGTATGTGACATTTAAAAATTAATTAGTCTAACTGAATTAATAAAAAAAATTTAAATTTCTGAAAAAAATTCTTCCATGTGTCGGTTATGCCACACTGCTTTTGATTCGGTGTACTTCCCCCGCCCCCCAAATATTAGTATTACATATAATTATATTAATATAATATTAAATAGATTGACCAACTACGTATTGCAAAAATGTATCATTTTAAAGTCATAGACCCATATGTGCTTGTTCACTATAATTTGCAGTGATTTACATCTCAAAGTCACATACATTGACATCAATGAATGTTTATTGTTGCCTTGGCTTATATTTGTAGAACTGAAACTAGGTCAAAAACTGAACGAGGGTAAGACCAAGCAGATCTTTGAGCTTGTGGATGAGCCGGGTCATGTTCTGGTCCAGTCTAAAGATCAGATCACAGCGGGCAATGCGGTTCGGAAGGATCAGATGGAGGGCAAAGCAGCTATTGCCAACAAGACCACCAGCTGTGTGTTCAAACTTTTACAGGATGCTGGTGAGATTTCCTTTCTGTTGATTTATTTTTATTTAATCTTTGGGCAAGCTGGTTAATTTATTTGCACAAATAATATTCATTCAAAATGATGTCATTTGTGGTTTACCACATAAAATGCTGTAAACAGGCAAGCAAGTAGTGTTGGTCCACAATCACATGATGTTTATTGAATAAAAATTCAGCAATGTTATAGTGCTCAAACAAAGGTTTTTTTTATTAAATCTAGTTGGAGACATTCATGAGGTAGGCCCAAATTCAGTGTTGCAAGAGATCCCTAGAGGGCATTTAATTTTAAAGTAGTTGCCACAACCGCTGCAATTTTAGTGAATTAAAGTTGGTGTGTACACCATGTGCAGCTCCTGGTGAAGGTTTTACTCTGGGGAAATGACTGCCTTGTGACAGCCATGCTTCCTTTAATTAAACTGAATATTACACGCATGCTTGCTGTTTTCAGGCTATTAAGACTGCTGTCCCAGTTTCACTGCGTGAAAGCATTTTGTGTCTTTTGTCTGTCATACCTATACTCTGCACAGTCAGTGTCAGTATATCACTGTAATAATAATAATTCCTTACATTTATATATAGTGCTTTTCTGGGCACTCAAAGCGCTTTACATAGAAGGGGGAATCTCCTCATCCACCACCAGTGTGCAGCCATATTGCGCCAGAACGCCCACCACAAACCAGCTTATTGGTGGAGAGGAGACCGAGTGATTAAGCCAATCAGCAGATATGGGGATGGTTAGGAGGCCATGATGGCCAATGGGCAAATTTGGCCAGGATGCCGGGGTTACACCCCTACTCTTTTTCGAAGGAGATCCTGGGATTTTTAATGACCGCAGAGAGTCGGGACCTCGGTTTAACATCTCATCCGAAAGATGGTGCTTTTTGTCAGTATAGTGTCCCCGTCACTACACTGGGGTGTTAGGACCCACACAGACCACAGGCTGAGCACCCCCTGCTGGCCTCACTAACACCTCTTCCAGCAGCAACCTAGTTTTCCCAGGAGGTCTCCCATCCAGGTACTGACCAGGCTCAACCCTGCTTAGCTTCAGTGGGCAACCAGTCTTGGGCTGCAGGGTGATATGGCTGCTGTACTGCTGCTGTGATATACTCTGCTGGAAAATGCCATTAATATACTAGACAAATAATTTAGCCATTTCTAATAGGATGCACACAATAATGCGAATCATGACTCTACCACTTTCTTTCAGGGTTTAAGACGGCATTTGTCAGGCAGCATTCTGAGACTGCTTTTGTGGCATCTCGATGTGAAATGATACCCATTGAGTGGGTCTGCAGACGGATAGCCACAGGCTCTTTCCTCAAACGCAACCCTGGGGTCAAAGAGGGCTACCGCTTCTCTCCTCTAAAAATGGAGATGTTCTTTAAGGTGAGGTTTTGTTATTTAGAAATAAAGTTGTGGAGAAGGTTTTGTCATCCATAATATTTCAAAGTAATGTCATGCCATTTCCCATATTGATGCCCTCAGTTTCTCTTTCATTGTTCTTTGTTCAGGATGATGCCAATAATGACCCTCAGTGGTCAGAGGAGCAGCTTTTGGCAGCTGGTTTTGAGCTGGCTGGTTTGACTATTGGCCGCTGTGAGGTAGACATCATGAGCAAAAGCACAGTGGCCATTTTTGAAGTCCTGGAGAAGGCTTGGGCCACACAGGACTGCACGTTGGTGGATATGAAAGTAAGAAACCTAAGTGTATTGGGCTAACACTTTTGAAGGTAGTTTCTGTTAGTGTAACTGGTGGTAGTGACATTTGCTACTATTGACCCCTACAGTAAATGTTTAATGGCCATAAACTTTAATTTTAGATTGAATTTGGTGTGAATGTGACCACTAAAGAGATTGTGTTGGCTGATGTGATTGACAACGACTCGTGGAGGCTCTGGCCTGCTGGGGATCGCAGCCAGCAGAAAGACAAACAGGTAAATAACCAAACACTTATACATGTCAGGCATGAAAAGGATTTACACAATTTTTTTACTGGAGTAAAACTAGCAGTTAACAGAGTTTGGTATTAATTCTGAGGAAGCAGATATCCTTCTGTTATGATCATGATCTTTCCAGTAACATGCTGATAACAGAGAATTAGCCAAGCTCTAGTGTGATCTATAGGAGTATGACTTTGTTTAACATGGTGTTCTTTGTGAAGGTGTACCGTGACCTGAAAGAAGTCACTCCTGAGGCCATGCAGATGGTGAAGAGAAACTTTGAGTGGGTTGCAGAGCGAGTCAAGGTACAATGTTTTACAAAATACATTTTTTTTGTTGTGTTTGTTCCATTACATTTCTACACTTCTTGCAATTTCGGGATATATATTCATATTAAAACTGCACAAAGTCAGCATTAAAATTCACCTTTTCTCATTTTTAAATGCATGTTGTTGATCTTATTTTGAGCTATTCATGTGTACATACATATACAAACATGCACAAATGAACAGTTAAATATATCATTTTTTGTTTTCTTCATTTAGTCTGACAAGACAAGACAAAAAACATGAAAACCCATTATAAACGAGGCATTTGTTGCATCCAGTGGGGACATAATTACGGATTATAATGACTTATACTGTCTTTTTACGTGTTGCGTTGCATCGTGCCGTGTAAACAAAACCATGTCTGCATTTGTGATCAGAAATGACAAACAAGCACTAACGTTACTCTACACTGCTCAAAATTCGCGTTTGAATCATCAGTGGCAAATCCTTTAAATGAAAACCTACTTACAGACTGTAAGTCAGAACAGCCGGCGGCCTTGTAACACTCCAAAGAGAAAGGAAAAATTGAAATCGCATCATATGACCCCTTTAATATAGAACTCTGTGACCTTGTGCTATCAGGCTTTCACCCCATTAACCTCTGAACACCTTGATGACCCCACCATCCCTCTTCCTCTAGTAAAGTCTTTCACAACATCTAAGTGCATTTTTCCCAGTTTGAATGAATCTCACCAGCTTTCCTGACTAAAACTTTTCACTTTAGATAGGGTTCCTAATAGATTAAAGAGATGATTGTTGTTGTTTTGCTATGGTCAGTGACACCACAATGCTTCATATCACAAAAATGCTGTTTTTGTGGAGGATCCTAACTGAAACATTGGTGATTGAGAATCTGTTTGTGTGTGTATATAGCTGCTTCTGGAGTCACAGGCAAAAGGAAGGGTTGTAGTTCTAATGGGCTCTACTTCAGATGTGGCTCACTGTGAGAAGATCCGTAAGGCTTGTGGCTCTTATGGCATTCCCTGCCACCTTAGAGTCACCTCTGCCCATAAAGGCCCTGATGAGACACTCCGCATCAAAGCTGAATATGAGGGTATGATCAAACACAACTAACACTAAGAACAGAATGTCCTTTCTGCAGATAAAAAAATAAAAACTACTGTTAATTTTAATGTTTTAAACTTCAATATTTTAATCCAGAACACTGTGTAGAGTAGGTTTATTGCATAATTAAATCTATACATTTTTTTTTTTTCTTCTCAGGTGATGGTGTACCCACCATCTTTGTTGCAGTGGCAGGCAGAAGTAATGGCTTGGGTCCTGTGATGTCAGGAAACACTGCGTATCCGGTTATTAACTGTCCCCCTATTACCCCCGACTGGGGTGCTCAGGACATTTGGTCATCTCTTCGCATGCCTAGTGGTACAGATCAATTTAAATGTCATTAAATCTCTTTAAACATATGATTATCTGTTTGTAATTAGACTACAATGGAGTCAGTCAAAAATACAGTAAAAACAGTAATATTGTGAAATATTACAATTTAAAATAACTGTTCTATTTTAATAGAAAATATAAAAATTAATATTATAATTGAAAACAGTCGGTTAATTTTGTGAAAACTGTGATACATTTTTTCATAATATTTTGATGAATAGAAAGTCTGTTTATTTGAAATGGAAATCTTTGCAATATTGTGAATGTCTTTACTGACTCTTCTGAGAATCCTGAGAGCCTTTTTTTTTCAGTTAACTTTTTTTGAAGAGAATTTTAACAAAGTTAAGCCAAATACAGTTTGAGTTTTAGCAAAAATAAGTAGTAAAAAACCTGGGCCTGTATTCTCTCCGAGAGCTCCTAATTTAGCTTAAAAATGTCTAACTAGGAGTCTTAGCTTAAAAGTGATTCAGGACCAATCTGAGAGCAACTCTGAGCGAGGAAAAGACAAACTTTTATCTTAGTGAGGATGCGGGGCTGACCCCGTTGCTAACTATGACACAGTGAAGACTGTGATTGGTTGGTTGTCCAAGAAGGAAATAAAATAGCGCTTTTAAGAGTAGGGTCTATTCTAAGCCTTCACTTTGAAATTACAGTATTCTTTTTTTTTTTTTTTTTACCATGCTCTCATACTTAACGTATTTGATAGGAAATGAACAGTGACACAATAAGGTTCTGAAAGTGCTTTAATTGTTTGTGTTATCACTTTGCTTATAGAAGGTTGTGATGGACCCAAATCATGACTGCTGCATAGTTGCAATTTTCCAGTTGCCAAATATGTTAATGTAGTGATTACTTCCATTTCTGGCACTATGGCATTTCTGCGCTGTGTCGGAGATGTTAGCGTGCCTCTAATAAGATCGTTCACAATCGTGATCCCTGCACGATCTAATGTGTAGCGTCTTACTAACTCACTGTCATGCATTGTGCAATACATTTCTTCTCCCTCTTAATGTTTCGTCCATCTTCTCCACTACTAAAGAAACTCTTAAGCTTCCTAAAAGTCCTCGTCTGTACTCCTAACAATTTTGGACCTTAAGACTTCTTTTAAGTGTTAAAATGCTTTCTGAATTTTTTCTTTACTAGAATCTTTCCTTTAGTACAATGCTGTTAATGTCATACTTAACGTATTTGATAGGAAATGAACAGTGACACAATAAGGTTCTGAAAGTGCTTTAATTGTTTGTGTTATCACTTTGCTTATAGAAGGTTGTGATGGACCCAAATCATGACTGCTGCATAGTTGCAATTTTCCAGTTGCCAAATATGTTAATGTAGTGATTACTTCCATTTCTGGCACTATGGCATTTCTGCGCTGTGTCGGAGATGTTAGCGTGCCTCTAATAAGATCGTTCACAATCATGATCCCTGCACGATCTAATGTGTAGCGTCTTACTAACTCACTGTCATGCATTGTGCAATACATTTCTTCTCCCTCTTAATGTTTCGTCCATCTTCTCCACTACTAAAGAAACTCTTAAGCTTCCTAAAAGTCCTCGTCTGTACTCCTAACAATTTTGGACCTTAAGACTTCTTTTAAGTGTTAAGATGCTTTCTGAATTTTTTCTTTACTAGAATCTTTCCTTTAGTTTTAAGAGGAAACGCCCACATTTCTAAGAATTTTCTTAGAATTTTGTTACTAGGAGCAACTCTTCGCACTAAGATTTTTCATGAATTCGGGCCCTGGTATAACTTAGCCATACATTTTTCTCGCCATGAAAATAGCCACAGAACCTCGCATGGCATTAAACACAAACAAACAAACTGACCCTTGTGAGCAATTTAATGGGTTTTTCTATTTTTATTTGTATTATAATAATAATAATATTATTATTATTATTGTTGTTGTTGGTAAATTTTACTGACCCCAAACATTTGAACGATACTGTACGGTGCAGTAAAACGAAACATTCTGTCATTCTTACTCTTTTAGGTCTGGGTTGCTCCACGGTTCTTTCTCCAGAAGCTGCTGCTCAGTTCGCAGCTCAGATCCTTGGTCTAAATGACCATTTGGTTTGGGCCAGACTTCGAGCATCCATGCTGAACACCTGGGTCTCCCTGAAGCAGGCTGACAAGAAGCTGCAAGAGTGCAGCCTGTAATAAACCAGCCTTTTCATTCCCTTCAACCACTTTATACATTTCTGCTTACATTTTTGTGTACCCACCTGTCATTGCCTTTGAACAAACTTATGTGAAATGCCGACTTAGAGCTTATTTGCAATAATACCATTTCAGTTGTACATTACATCAATAAACATTCCTCAGTTACATTTGTCTTGGTGGTGGTTGTACTCAGCATAAATGAAAACATAATAAAATTAAATGTCTTAAATCATATGTGACCCTGGACCAAAAAAACAGTCATAAGTAGCACCCATAGGCTATATTTGTAGCAAAAAATCATTAGGATATTACATTTACATTTAGCAGACGCTTTTATCCAAAGCGACTTACAAATGAGGACAATAAAAGAGCAACAATATATAAGTGCAAATGACAAGTCTCGGTTAGCCTAACGCAGTACACGTAGCAAGGTATATATGTATATATATATTACACGCGCGCACACACAAAGAAAAACAAGTAGATAGAACAGAAAAAAATAGCTAGTGTTTGAAAAAAAAAAGAAATATAGTTTAATTAAAATAGAATAGAAAGTGCTAGAGTAATAAATAATGAATGTTCCATGCTATTTTGTCAATTTCCTACAGTAAATATATCAAAACTTAATACATTTACATTTAGCAGACGCTTTTATCCAAAGCGACTTACAAATGAGGACAATAAAAGAGCAACAATATATAAGTGCAAATGACAAGTCTCGGTTAGCCTAACGCAGTACACGTAGCAAGGTATATATGTATATTACACGCGCGCACACACAAAGAAAAACAAGTAGATAGAACAGAAAAAAATAGCTAGTGTTTGAAAAAAAAAAGAAATATAGTTTAATTAAAATAGAATAGAAAGTGCTAGAGTAATAAATAATGAATGTTCCATGCTATTTTGTCAATTTCCTACAGTAAATATATCAAAACTTAATTTTTGATTAGTAATATCCATTGTTAAGAACTTCATTTGGACAACTTTAAAGGCGATTTTCTCAATATTTCGATTTTTTGCACCCTGAGATTCCAGTTGTTCAAATAGTTGTATCTCGGCCAAATATCGTCCTACCCTAACACACCACACATCAATGGAAAGCTTATTAAGGTTTCAAACGATATATAAATCTCAATTTTAAAAAATTGTGGTCCAGGATCACATGTGACAATGTATAATACACTTATGTAATTATGTACACAGTCATATATATATATATATATATATATACACATGTATAAAACACATTATGTATCCTATATCCAAGATTCACAGGAAGTGTGCGTGTTATATGAAACCGTGCGAACCCTCGTGGAAAAAATCCTCTGTACAATGCGTCTCCTCCACAGAGTATGATTGACGGATAACTGCGGCGGGAAAGACGGAACAGCTCAAAGACTTTGTTTGAACAGCTCCATGAAACGTACGTGTGTCCTCTGCTTGCAAGGTAAAGCTACACTAAACGCTTAGTGAGCAGCGCCATCTGATGCCGAGTTCACACTGCACGAGACGTCGCATCACTGTTGGCTTCACACTGTGACAGATGGGAAGGTGCTATACCAACCCATAGCTGGGTTCTTTTTAACCCAACATTTTTTAGTGAGTACAAGTAGAGGAATGAGTACCCCCTTCTGGCCGGACTAAAACAAGCTCCAGCAGCAAGCTAGTTTTTCACAAAGGGTCTCCCACCAGTGTACCGACCAGGCTCTGGCCTGCCTTGCTTTAGTGAAGAACCAGAATCTGTCTACTGCATGCAACAGCTGTATTTTTGTTCTGAGCCTTAATGAAGCTGCTAGAATAGAGGGTGCCGCCTTGAAATGATAAGATTCTATCTGATATTTTTCTCAAAATTGAGTTATTCACATATTCTTAATCTGTGACAACTTTACATTATGTGAAGTTGTGCACATTTTAGGACTTTTTATTTAGCAAACAAAAAGGTTCTATCTACAAAGTCGAACTCTAACTTCTATAAGGTTCTATATGTGAGCCAATCAATACTTTGAATGCACACAAGCGCACCAATCAGGAGCAACTTTCTTTGTCATGTCGATGTCGCCAGACTGCTCCGTGAAAGCAGGAAAGATTAAACGTGAAATATTTTATTTGTAAAACAATTTTAGAACACACACATATATATATATATATATATATATATAGTCAGTGAAAAATTTTTCAATGTTTATTAAGGGTGTAGGGTCGCTAGCGACCTGAGGTAGGCTACGTAATATTGTTGTGCAGAAAAAATATACTCACACTAATTAAACGTCTGATGACTCAGTATGTGCAATTCACCTTTTTTCCTCAAAGTGTCACTGCTTGATACACAATGATGACGTGCTTTCATTTGTAATTATCGCAGGCATAAAACAAATAATATCATCTGCAAAAATTGTACTGGCTTGAACGCCTTTACTGCAGAGCAATTACTGTATGCAGTGAAATATAAGTGTCACTGTCATTTGATGGTGGATGTCGTGAATAGCGATCAAAATGTTTTGAAGAACGAGTTTTGATCGAATATGTTTGAGATCGCGATATGAGCCAGATGCCGAATGTACTGGGGAAATGGAAATAACCCCTTACAAGTTTTAAAAAAATGCTTTATTTTATTTTTTTGTAATTGTTATTAAAATATCAGGAGAGTTTTACACTTGCAGCAGATAGAGATCTTAGATAGCCTTGGTCCGGGTCGCTAAAAACCTGAATATGTATACGATTGGCGAAACATTCATGCATTTAAGTGAAGCATTGTTTGTTTTCTTGCAGTTTAAAGTCTGAAAATGTCTTACATTTTACAATATTAAGCCTTAAAGCCAAATAGTCAGCAAATCTAATTGATGGGGTCTTAATTACAACAATAATAGTTAGCAGGTTATCTCAGACGTACTGATCTCTAGAGAGAAAGCAATTTTACCTGTCCCTCTTTCTGTGGAATAAAGTCCTGCTCAGAGGTATTACAGTAGCTACTGTTGTGAAATTTTACTCAAAAATATTATGTATGGTAATAATTACAATCAATATGGTGATTGTTTTAATGATTATTTCAATATTAGAAGTCTTACAGTAATATAGGCTGTGAGTCTTAGGTGCCCCCTACTGGGCAAGTATGGTGCTTTCCATTGGGCAGTGCCAACCCAGCAAGCAATTTTGCGTTTAAAAGACGTCCATAGCCTAGACGTCTAGGCTAAAACGAGGCTAAATTTGGGCTGTCAGTGAAAATCTAATAGACCTAACCATAGCCCAAGAATAGACTAGTCATCAAATAGACGGCTATTAAACGACTACATATATATACGTCTAATAGACAACAAAATGGCAATCCATCCATACAGCTTTTATTAAGAAAAATAAAATTTTTGACAACTTAAGACAATACAAAATGATAAAAATACAAAATAATTAATGACAAAATAAAATGTTATAAATACAATACACTTAAATATAAATATTATGATAAAAAAATCTGGAGTTTTTAACAACTTAAGATAATAAAAATATAAAAATGAAATAAAATATTTTAAATAACTTCAGATATTTAAAAGAAGAAAAAATCTAATACAAATCAAGAGCATGTTATCACACTTAACATTAAAACATTACGGATAAATGACAACATAAAAAAAAAAGATGAACCCTTTTGGTTTACTTTTAACAAATAAAACAACCAACAGTGAACTTAAAGGAAATTATTAATTATTGGTTTTATTTCTTGTTTAAAATGCCTCCCAACTGCATTCCTCAAGTCCAACTCTGTTGCTGCCGGGGAAGTTGGTCATCACAGCATCTGCCAAATAAGAACCAAGAAAAGCTTGACATCATTTTTTACTTTAATTGCACTAATTGTGACAGAGAGTCATTCTCATTAGCTTGGATGCCAACTAAAAACAAAAATGAGATATATTGTGTATCACCATTCAGTGTGTTAAAAAAGAGAGAAGCTCTCTGGTAAATGTTGTGTTTTTATACACGTACCTCTGATGACCGAGAACAGTGCAGTCTTTTCAAATGCCTCTTTCTGCAGCGGACCACCCCCCTTCATGTTGAATTTGGACATGAGGGAAT